TTTTTTTGGCCTTTCCGGACCAGTTACCAGTACTAGCTTAAGGTACCTACTAGAGGTAGTAGTAGTAGTACTGGTACCTGACTTACTTTCCAACTAGGAACTAGAACCAAAGTAGACTACGTTGCTTTGCTGGCTGGGGCAAAAAAAAAAAAATAAAATAAAAAGAATAAGTCAGTCACTCCCAGCGGGTCAATGGGTCCAACAATTAACCAACGACTTATATTAACCATGATTATGACATGGTTTGAAAGTCCATATAATTATTAAAGTCATGCCAGTAATTGTGATAAACCGGAAGAGATAGTTCTCAATCTCCGGGCCTTAGATATGGACCAGTATCTTTTCGAATGCCGTTCCTGGAATAGTTGAGTGGATAATGTAGGATAATCCACTTCCTGTTTCTCTGGTTCTCGAGAGTCAAGGTTCCCGAAAGCAAACATGACCTGATCGCCTATTATTCTCAAAGGCCTGAACGTGTTCTTGTCCATTACCTTGATGGGTTGGGAAAAGTATAGGCGCTAATCCAAAGATAATAATAGCGATTAATACCTGGGGTATTGTCTATCAGTAATTGCTACATCCTGAAGCATGAACGCATCCTAATAACCGTTACCTATCAACAGGTCCAAGATGGGGAACTAGTAGGTACCACTATATCCATCCTACTGCATCCACAACGTACGGGCGATTACAGGAATACTATGTAGCCCTCGTACATCACACACGCGATTGAGACACATATCACCTCCACCCACAACGATGTTTTTTGTTTCTTTTAAAGAGAACCATAATCTAGATTCCGACTTGTTGTTTTCAACTAGACCGACCAAGGGAAATGAGGGCTGCCAAGTCATCAGGGGTAAAGCGAACCACTGTTTCATCTCCCGGGACGGCAAGTTCACTAGAGCCTCTGGGGCGAGCCGATCGTCATCTTGAAGCGCCAGTGCGAAAATTCCGCCGTTGTTGATTGGCCCTTGAGACGGGGTTACCTGTTCGGAGCCCTCCGTACCCTTGCCACTTCTAACCCAGGGATTTATTGTGGTTGATGTTGATTTGCATGTTTCTTGTGTTTCTCAACTGACTTTGAGTCTCCTGCTATTCTACTTTACCTTAATGAGTGACTTACAGCAAACGGCAAGCCCAGTCAAACAGTCTCTATGACAACAGACCAACCCCCTTACCCCCAGCCTCCACTCTGGCCTCAACCATGGTAGGGGTGTCACTGACCCAGAGTTCTGCCCACCAATTGTGCTTGAATGAATGGTTAACTAATCGGAATCTTGATGTTCTCGTGAGCTTAAATTCTATATCCCTTGGTTTATCGATCATATTTTCGATCTATCTTATCATCATTCTTTACGTCCCGCATTCCAGAGCAGATCTCCATTGTCCTGGGTTTAAGGTTCCCTGTCATAATCCAGCATAGCCTTTAGCTCGGTGAATGAAATTTACACTAGTAGTGCAGTAATGCATAAGTATTATACTGCGGATGTGTTCAACAGTGAGGTATAGCATATACAGCACTAGGCTCCTCCAGCAAGGACATCCCAGCATTCAAATAATTCATTCCAATAAAGGAGGTAGATAGCGAGGTACACGCAAAGCATATCCTCGGAGAGATTCGTCATCAACAGACCATCGTACAGTCTTCTTTTCTTTCCCATTCTCAACTCGGCTAGATTAATTACAATCCAGGGCAATCTCGGATTAGCCGACCCTTTAACCTTCGCCGCTAGGATCGCCCTACGGGCAATGGATAAATACTATTGAAGCTGCGGTTACTGAGCGCTCACACGGGACCCTCATAGAAGCGGCGGGACCCAATATCAGTTATTCAAAGCAGCTCGTGGAATAACGCTACAGTTAAACAGTCCTATTTAGGGAGATTCATGCTCTATCGTACAAGCTAGAGCCATTCTCAGAATTGACCACTGAATTTATTTTGGTCATCTTGATATACAAGTATAAGATCTTTGAACCCGCCGCATGGGGTTGCACAGTGATTAAGCCTCATTCGTATACATAGTTAAGCGTATCCAATCGCTCGAACTAGTATGTAGGTGATACTGTATCCCAGTGCATTCTTCCCCCTAACTGGTGTTCTCCTTTTCGTCCTTCGATCTCTTCTTATTCTCCATGGACTTCTTCAACGACATATTGTTCACACTACCTTCATTGCACCGTTGGTCCCAAGGAACGCCCGCCTTTGCCGGGCGCTAGTCAACCAAACCACGAGATGATCACAGATCGCATAACTGACTATAGGAAAGGACTGTCTTATAGTGATAGTCCCAGCAAAGTCATCTGAAAGGCCGAGGCAAATATGCAGAGCTGTAGAAGGATCAGAATACCTGACAGGATTTCACATACCAAGCAGAGTCTACGAATATCCTTGTGATGCTAAATCTTCGGGAAGAGAGCTGCAGGTATTTTAATTTGTGTACACTAGTCACAGTAGTGCATTGAATCGGGAAACGATTGCTTTATTAGACTATCTCATGTACCAGGTAGAGCCAAAGGACGGAGTTCGGACCGCTGGGCGGCGGACGTTGGGAAGAATTTACACCTGTAACGTTGGCGGAGAAATAGAAGAGGATGGGGATAGATGTTTTCATGCCAAGACAGTTTCGGAGATTTAGATGAATAATACGATACTCACCTGGTAGGATAAAAGCATCTGTTTATAGGTGGATTAACCATGCTAGACAACGGGTCCTTACATAATTATCCTTCGAGGCTAGGATCATGGATGGTTTTCTAAGTATTGCAGCTCTTTGAGGACACTTCAGAATTTCTTACTATAGCATAATACTTGCAGTCCTTTCAGTAAAGAAACTTTCTTGCCATGCTTACTGCAGAAGCTAAACAAATACAAAAATAACTATAACAGCCGTCCATCTTAGGGGTGGCACGTTTATCAGCTCTGCTTTTTGCCAACAAATTATGGTTCTACTCGAAATATTGGCTGAATATTTGGACTATATAGCAACAGCCCTACTGCGGAGAAAGTTCCTCTTACGTAGCTTAGTATTGGAGGTATCCACCCAGTTAGTAGATAGACGAGACTCTGAGATATCTAGAGTAGGTATTTGACTATTGATAGGTAGGCGAAAGAGTGGGCCTTGATCAAGGCAACCCACTCTCCATATGACAGGGAAAAGCGAAGAAGACAGATACAGAAAATTTTCTACGTTCAGTGCTTAAAACGGATAGTCCTTTTCGAATATTTTGTATGACTCTTGGCCCCGGGGCACAAGGTACCATCCATAATAGGTATGTACAGGAATTTCATTCTAGATATTAAGTTGGCTGTAACTGACATAAGCTCCGAGTGACAACAAAATCATGAAAAGATGATCACAGGATGTAGCTCCAAATCTTGAAGGAACAAGACGAAGAAAAGAAAACAATTGAAGGCCGAGATTTATACCAAAATCCCTGCATATATTCAGTTTTTGCCCCTTGACATGCTTATTCCACCGAGCGACGTTGTGTTCGGAGCACCATAGGCGGGCGGTGGTGTAGGGGTCGGAGATGGACGTCTTGCAACGGGATCACGCCCACCTGATCCTGAGGTTCTATTGCTCCGACCTCCTGCAGCCGGGGGCACCTCTCCACCGTCACCACTACCGACCACAACTTGCTTTCCGTTGCGCATGCGCCCGACAACCATACCCTTAGCTACTGACTTGAGGACTGCCTTACGGCTGACCCCCGTGGCATCAATGTAGACTAGTCCCACATTCTTCACGCCCCCGGTCAAATCGCTTGCCACAGTGCCGGCCTCAGCTCCATACCGATGCCCAATCATCGTACTGGCAGCAGCAGAGCCATGGGTTAGTACGGTACGGGCACTCTGCTCAATACCGTCTGCCAGTGTCGAGAATGCGATCATTGATTTGTTTAGTATGCCCGGCTTGTAGTCGCCGTTCACTCCCTTGTCGCCCTTGCGCTTTGAATCCGGGTTGCGACGGGTTAACGAAGCCCCGAAGTTCTGCGCAACTTTACCGACCTGGCCAACAGTCTTGGCTGAGAGGCCGGCGGCACCATGAGTCAAATTCCCAACCTTACGGACCCTTGAGTGAGTTGCCTCAGAGAAAGTCATTGGCTTAGGGTTAGGTTTGGTCTTCTTGGTAAAGGTTTCAGCTCCGCTAGTCATCATATTGGCAACATATGAAGAACCAGTCACGATCAGACGAGAAGCAGTAGCAGAAGTTTGGACCAGTGTTGAGTTCTTATATGCAGGGTGTCGGGCCATCTGCAGGTATTCCTCAGACACGTTACTGACGCTGACTTTGTTGCCTTCGCCTTCTGCAGGAAGTTCTACCTCCACCGGCCCTAGGGAAAGTTAACCATGGATCACGCCTACAGAGAATAAGGCCGACTTACTCTTAGAGCCAGGCTTTACGCCAGGTTTCTCAACCACATCATACCCTTCCATTTCACCAACAACGCTGCCATCCTCTTCATCAACGAGCACTATCCGCCCATGAGGGTCCTTCTGATCAGGACTCGTGGACGAGACATAACCTGCACCTGGTGCAAAATCTGCTGGGTTGTACGGAGCATGCTCTTTCGGTGGGGCTGCACGCTCGAGGAATGCGGTACATTGTGCCAGAATCGTTTCAAATGTATCAACATCTTCCTGAGATACCTTATCAGGGCTACTCCCAATGGCGGGAAATTGTATGCGGATGAACGCGCCAGCATCTGGACCCAAATCCCAGCGAGGAATCAAATAGCTGTTCGGTGGCTGGTGATAGATCTGTGTAGAGGCTGGAAGTGCCAGATCTAACTCTGGAGGGAGATGAAGATGAAGATAGAAATCTTCTTCTGCTGGTCCATCATGAGAGCTCTGAGGTGTAGAAGCACTTGTCGGAACCATTAAAAGGGAAAGGGTTTGAGGCCCCGATGGGGTGAGCTCGGATTCCTCGCCATCTTGGATATGGAAAGCATTTATGTTGTTGACGCTGTAGAGAAGGCGAGGGTCATGAGCGGTACCCGACATGATATCGATAGAGTGAGATAAAGTTGACGGTACCCCTGTTTATTACCCAAAGCGGGGAACTGTTGATACTGTGGGGAAGATGGACAGTCGCTAAGTGTAAAAAGACGGAATCTCTGTGTGATTGTCCCAAGACAAGAAGTCACTGAGGGTAACGCAGCTGTACAAGAGATAGTAAAAATGTATTCAATCTCTGAGAAGGTCAGAGGCAGTAATATATCTGTCAAGAGAAGTCTTGGTCTTGTTGGAGGGGCATCATCATAGCCAATGACGTTGTCAAAGGGACCCTGTACTCTGGATTAGATAAGCATTGGGTCACCCCTTTTTTCCCTTTTGGATCTCAACATTGCTGCGCCACAGGAGCATGAAGAATACACCGCCACAGTTTCGATCGTCTTTTGCCATGAGTGGCTTGAACCAGATGAAAATAAACCTCACCCGCAATTTGCATGTGAACATTTCGTCTCTGTTGAGACATTCCTGAATATTCTGCATCTGTTGTTCGCTGGATCTTACTCTTGCTGGTCGGGGATTCTTCCGCAAACCAAAGACGCGATCTTTCCCAACAACACCACTTAGTTACTAGGCAGTGCTATTTCAGTCACAAGCTCCAATTTTCTAGTATTAGTGGCGCTTAAAATCAGCTCTCGAGACACGGACATCTTGGCATCAAATGGTGTCTTTTCAGATCCTGTCTGACCTCCACCTAGAAACCCCCGAGGCGTATGATTTGTTTGACATCGCTCCCAAAGCGCCCTACCTAGCGCTTCTGGGCGATATCGGCAATGTCAAGGACGATGGTTTGTTTATCTTTCTTGAAGCTCAGCTTCAAAAGTTTCAGATTGTCTTTTTCCTCTTAGGAAACCACGAACCATACCACGCTAATTGGACGGCTGCAAGGGAAAAAATGCAAAACTTTTCTAGGACCATTATTCAAAAACGAACGCAAGAGGGTCAGCAGCTGGGGGAGTTTGTGTTCATGGATCAGGCACGCTACGATATCTCCCCTCATATTACCGTTCTGGGCTGCATACTATATTCCAGAGTCCTCAAGAGCCAAGAAACTCATGTTAGCTTTGGCCTTAACGATTTTTATCACATTGAGGATTGGACTGTCGATGCCCATTGCGCTGCCCATGAGGCTGACCGAACATGGCTTAACGATCAGGTTTCTCAGATTGTGAAGTCGGAACCGCGTCGCAAGATAGTGATATTTAGTCATCATAGTCCAACCCTTGCGGCAGCGGCTGTTGACCCCGTGCATGCCAACAGCCCTTTGTCTTCAGGGTTCGCAACGGACATCGCAGAAGAACCATGTTGGAAGAATGCCCAAGTGTGTCTGTGGGCATTTGGACATACGCACTACAATTGCGATTTCATAGACGACAAGACTGGGAAACGACTCGTGGCGAATCAGAGGGGGTACTACTTCGCTCAGTCGAAGGCGTTCGATCCGGATAAAGTGGTCAGTGTTCAATAAATGGGGGTAGATCATGACACGAAACTAAGATCATCGGAAGATTATCTTTATTCCGTAGTAAAGCGAAATTGATAATGTAGAGGAAATCCTGGTACCGCCGGCCGTTGAAAATACTCCGGAGTAAGGCCGCCGGCAACCCATGGGGAAGCAAGCTTGCTGTCCCGACTACTCGACAGCCGCGGTTAACCGAGGCTCGTCTTCGGAGCCCTCGTGATTCCGCTCCAACACCATCTTCCTTCCCCAGCTCACTTCTCCTCTCTTTTCTCTTCCCCCTCTTTTCTGTGCAGTCAAGCATTTGATTCCGTGCCTTTAGCTTAACTTACCTATTTCAGTCCCCTGCAATGGCGTCTATTACCCGCGCGTTGCGGCCTCTGTGCCGCACTACTACTCCCTTCCGCATGGCCGCAAGACGGCCACTGCCCTCTCATTTAGCTCGGAGGTGTGTTTCTCCAGTAGTTCGCTCACCACTGCTTTGCCAAATAGTGTGAACTCATATAATGAATGTGCATGTACTCATCACTGACTACCATTGATTGAACAGTACTCATGCATTCTCTACCACATCCCGCCGGCGGGATATCGACTTGTCCAGTCTGACACCAACCCCGATCACCCTTCTTTCCGAAACAGAGTCGATGATGGCCGACACAGTGTCAAAGTTCGCTCAGGAGCAGATTGGACCTAAGGTCCGAGACATGGACGAGGCGGAAGCAATGGACCCCGCCATTGTCGAGCAGCTGTTCGAGCAAGGGTTGATGAGTATTGAGGTCCCCGAGGAATACGGTGGAGCCGGCATGAACTTCACATCCGCTATCGTGGCGATTGAGGAATTGGCAAGGATTGACCCTAGCGTCAGTGTCATGGTCGATGTCCATAACACACTTGTAAACACGGCTATCATGAAATACGGTGATGCCCAGGCGAGACGGACGTGGTTGCCCAAGCTGGCTACGGGCACTGTTGGTTCATTCTGTCTCTCTGAGCCTGCATCTGGATCAGACGCGTTCGCTCTGCAGACCAAGGCCGAGAAGCTTTCCGATGGATATAAGCTGAATGGTTCGAAGATGTGGATCACCAACGCTATGGAGTCTGGTGTATTCATCGTCTTCGCCAACCTTGACCCCAGCCAAGGGTACAAGGGTATTACTGCCTTTATTGTCGAGAAGGACACACCCGGATTCTCTATTGCCAAGAAGGAGAAGAAGCTGGGCATCCGCGCCAGCAGCACCTGCGTGCTCAACTTCGACGACGTGGTGATTCCCAAGAGCAACCTCCTCGGTGAAGAAGGACAGGGCTACAAGTATGCCATCAGCGTCCTTAATGAGGGTCGCATTGGTATTGCTGCTCAGATGACCGGTTTGGCACTGGGCGCCTGGGAGAACGCTGCTCGGTAAGGACAGCCCGGACGTATCTTTTTTCCCCATCATGCCGAAGAATCTTCACTAACTATTGACGACAGCTATGTCTGGAATGACCGCCGCCAGTTTGGCCAGCTCATTGGAACCTTCCAAGGCATGCAGCATCAGTTGGCACAGGCCTACACCGAAATTGCTGCAGCGCGTGCTCTAGTCTATAATGCCGCACGCAAGAAGGAAGCAGGTCAAGATTTCGTCCATGACGCCGCGATGGCCAAGCTCTATGCCTCCCAGGTTGCAGGCCGCGTATCCGGCTCTGCAGTTGAATGGATGGGCGGAATGGGCTTTGTGCGTGAGGGCATCGCAGAGAAGATGTTCCGTGATAGCAAGATCGGCGCTATCTACGAAGGAACCAGCAATATTCAGCTGCAGACCATCGCGAAACTTCTGCAGAAGCAGTATACTAACTAAAACTCACTACATGTGAAGCCTTATTATTCTATTGGTGTTGCTAGATAACTGGCATACGTTCTTGAGGGATGTAGTCACTTGATGACCGCAAGCTCCATGGCATGCCCCTGCTGATCTTAGAGTTATGAACAATTTGTATGATAAACTAGCATTTGATTTTGAAAACCGCGTTAAGCATTCTATTTATAAACAGACTTTTGTTGTAGAATGATGTGATAGGTTTAATCTGTTAAATCGAATCCCCCTTCGATAAGGCCGGACATGCTACTCTATCCCTTACATTAAACTCGGCCTTAGGTGGGGTGCAAGGCGTCAGCACCGGGACAAATGCCGAAGGAATATACGGAGTACTGTATAATTCATTTCGTCGTTGCAGATCTCATACCGTGTTCTAAGAAGCTCGGGAAACCTAGTACGTATTCGAGGTATCATGCATGCCCAAGAGCCATTCACTGCAACACAGAACATATTCATTGCAAAACTTCGTAACGTATATGGTTCGGTAGTTATCATCATTAATCATTTCCGTCAGGTGGGCGACTGATCGGTTTCTAGGTATTATACTCCAGGCTATTACTATTATAATAGGGAAAAGGTAGCCCGCTATAGAGTGGAATGTTGAGTTGAGATGAACCCATAGCGATAATGAGCAAAGTACCGTGCAAGGGGCCTTGCTTTGGGGCCGATAGTAGAAAACAGAAATATTTACCATGACAAGGTGGATAAGACCAGCGTACGCACTGATGCCCCATGGACAGGTTGGTGTAGAGGGTCGGATATTTGCTTCGTGCCTGAACTGCACGGACATTCTCGTCGCGTACTGGATACCAGTATTAAATTTGTGCATCGACATTTAGGCCACAATGAAGAAATATCACCTTTAATGACCACTTGCCAGCGGAATCACTGTCGACGAGTCCAGTCATAGCCGTAATCGTTTCTTGGGGACTGTTCCGGGGCTTGTTGATACTGTTGCGCGGCGTGAATCACTGGGTATCCACGAAGTTCCCGTTCTGACGGTATAGTTGGCACAGACATTGAGCGTTGACTTGTCGCACATTGCACGTGTTGAGGGTTGTGCGGATGCTCCCCTCGGCGCACTTGGTTGGGACCCCCTCCTGGGTACAAGTGTGAATATGAGTGGAAACCGGGCTCAGCAGGATGGCCGGTGGGGGTATTGAAGCTAGCTTGGGGTGCTGCAACAGGCATCGGATTCGACGTTTGTAACTGGCCTTCGAATATAAAAGGTTCTACCCTGTTCGTATAATCTGCATCCGACGATTCACAGATAGATGGTGACCCTGTGGAACCGTACTGTTGCCAGTCAGGCACAACGGAGACTTGACTGGAGGTTGAAAGAGCCGACGGAGTCCTGGAAACTGGATTTACACTCAAGGGCTCTGTGAATTGAGAAGGAAGTACTGGCCCAGAAGGGGTATTGTATGAGCCCTCGCCTGCTTCAGAAACAGTCAGTCATGGTCGCATTGCAACCGCGCCACATGACAAGCGGTAAGGACGATGTCACACACCTGGGCTTGAATAGGCTTGTCCGCTTCTTACCAAGGCTAGTTGTTGCTTTAAAGCCCTGATCTCGTTTTCTAAAGCAGTATTTCTTCGGACGACATGGTCATATTGTTCCCCTTTTGATTTTAACTCCGCTACTTGGTGCTCCAGACGTTCGATGTGCTCCTTTGTCCGCTGACGAATAGTCCTTTGGGCCTCCCGATCGTTGGCGCGCTTCCTTTCGAGTTGTTCTGCCGAGAGAGACGTCACCTTTCGCGTCCCAGCACGAGACTCTCGTTTTTTAGGCTGGGGGTTTGGATTGGAAGCCATCATGTGCTTGCTATAGTAATCGACAGAGTGTCCGAGGGAGGGGGGTGGCGCGTCCTTGAGGGGTGACAGGCATAAACATCGAAGAGATGAATGTGATACATCCCAGTTTCTAGGGCGGGCTACAGGGATCGAATCATCCAGGACCTCAGGATGCGACTGGTTGTGCCATATGCGTGGATCGCACTAAAATATGGTGTGCATGCCCAAGCGAACGAGGGAGGAACCACTTGATAGAAAGCGGGTGGATAGAGGAAAGTTGTATCCTTCGTTTTGTGACGGCCACGAAAAAAAGGCTCGTTCTTGCGGGGAGGTGAGCCCGCAAAGCCTCATCTGGCCGGGTACTTTTGGAACTAGGCACATTGTGGCCCTAAAATACCTAATAGCTTGGGTCTCCAGATTGTCGCTAAGAGTAAGGGTCGATTCCCGAGCAGATGAGCTCCCAACAATAAAACCCCCTGTTCAACAACGGTCCCTCTGCCGTGAAGAACGCCAATGGGCGTGCGCAAAGGACAGAAAACCCTGTGAGAGGGGGCGTCGATTACGACGGGCGTAGCGCCTTTCCTCCAACAAGTTATTACTATGGGTCTGGCGCGATGCTATGTGCATTTTCCGGCCCTCCCGACCTACAAGTTCTGCTCTAATTTGCAATTAGCAATCCCCCGGCACCCTTACCTACTACCCTAGCTAATAGACGGGGTTGCTTGACGCTGGAGTCTTTCTGATAGGCCGGAGCCAGTCATGCATAATGGTACTGGGCCGCGCTACCAATGTATCGAACTGGGCTGGCTGGCGCTGCCTCTAGATAGAACCTCGGGCTTCTTGAAATTTTATCGAGCCGATGGCCGTACAGACAGAATCTATCAACAGGTGGACCCTAGGAACCCCAGGCCACATGGTGAGACCGGCTAAATCCCCTAAGAAAATCCAGAGCCACAGAAAACTTCGAGATCGTCTCGAACAATGAATTTTATCGGCATTTGAAACATTCGAAACCGTAAATGACGGTTCAGCTCTTGCCACTTTTGCGAAAAGAGGAAGGAGTCTGCCATAACTTGGCGTAAGGGTTTCCCACACTGGAGCCCACTTGCCCACGAGGTGTGGAATGCATCCGAAACGATCATCAGCCCTTTATTTGAAAAGAGCGAGTGATTCCTGGGATCTGCCGGTCTTGGCGATTGCCAGATGAACGAGAAGCTCTTTGGTCAATAAGATTAAACGAAACGTACGTCATCCATCTTAGCGCCACAACCCAGATCACTTTTCTATGCCCAACATGGAAAGCCGTATCCAACTTGAGCGTGGGTGTAAGCCTCTCAGATCTTGGACGGAGCCTTTGAAACCATGGGTGGTGCTGACCACGAGGTAGGTAGATCGACTCCACTTGCGAATGGGCTCGTTCAAGTCTAACTACGATTCGTTGGGCCGAAGCGGAAAAGATTCGGAGGGTCCATAGAAGTTGCCAGCTTATCGAGAAGCGGCAGATGTTTGTTGGACCAACAAGATCGCGAGAGTTAAGTTAATAAGAAATCGCCTTTAGTTAGTACTGGGGAGAATGTCCAAGGGAGGGGGGAAACGAAGGGGTGGTCAGGAAAAAAAAAGAAAAAAGAAAAAAGAAAAAAGAAATTCCCATTTCTCTTTTTGGGTGCGGCGCAGTCAACAAGCCTAGACGATGCATGATGCACCCACAAGTTTCCCTACGACGGTTAGTAGTCTAGAATTCATAATGGATGGAGTACATTAAGAGATCCCACCTATTTCCTTTTTCCTTTTTCCTTTTTTTTTTTTTTTTTTCTTTTTTTGTGAGAGAGAGAGAGAGAGAGAGCCCCCCTTTTCCCCATAATCCCCTTTCGATTATTTGAAATGTCCGAATCATTATCCCCGAGCTCAGTTTTTGAAATCTCTTTACGAAGTATATGTCATATATGACGTAGAAAAGCGAGGTATCAGGAATAACATCGTTGTATTCCCCGATACTATCGACAGTGCCGAGAATACCCCAGAGCGCGCAAGTGATGTTGGTCTAAACAATAGCATGCAGTGGATGTTGTACTAATGCCGTGTGTGGTGGGCCCCTCTCGCTGCTGCACAACATATCAGAATAGCCTAACAGCATCCGCGCTTTTTTGTTGGCGAAAGTGGTCGTTTACATTCCTGGAAATCGACGATGATCGACTTCGCGGAGTCCGGAATCGACAGATGGTTTGTGTGAATGACAGACATGGATATTGTGAGAAGACTCCCTGTTTCAAATATAATCCGGCCTTAATCTCATGGTTTATTAATGTTAGTCACTATTTCTGGCCATCAGAAAGCAAGGGTAGTGTCGCTCCCGTACCAATCATGGACCGTCCTCTGCGCAACTGGTTCATGCTAAGTTGGTCCTGGGACACAGGCTCCAAGCCTAGTGTTGAACTAGAGAATATCCCTCCATTCAATGGTTGACACTATCCATGGTCAAAGGCCTATGAGACTCTTGCCCAGTCTCGGATCTTAGAATCTCGTGTCTCTTATATAGAGACAGTGTATAGCCAACAATATGTCCCACGGTATGCGATTTGGGAGATCAAGGTCAAATAAAATAAAATAAAATAAAATAAAAATAAACCCGACGTTGGTGGACACGAGTCATGGCTCGATGCTAAAAGGAAAGTTAAGTACGAGAGGGGTCTAAGTTGGTTAGTTCCTTCCGCTTCACCCCTTGGCCTGTTTTACCAATCCCTTTCAATGCCATCAAATGCTGCTGACGAGATATATTTCGCTGTGACGGTGTCCAGGAAAGAATTAATTGAGTTACGTGGCTATTGTTTCAAGAAGACGATATCAGCGTAGCCATATCTATTGCCAACGTTTAAGAGCCTGGCTTGTTCAAGGAGAGCAATTGGGGAATTGCGTGGAAGATGGCAGAAGATAATTGATCGAAATAATTGCCATTTGAGGGGAAAGTAACTAGTGTAATTGGATTACCATACACCGTAATTATGGACAGCCCCGCATTCCTTTGCATTGTCACTTATGTACCGTACAGTAATGTACATGTACATGTACATGCTGTTCGATGCACGCTGATTGCAAGCTGTCATCATCTTGTCCGATAGCTTCTCCCTTGGTATGGATCGACGAAGAAATTATACCCAATTCTCCAGTACTGAATTGAACTGAGGGGGTCACTGGAAGGAAGCTTCAACGCGTAGCCAGCAATCGAGGCATTAACATGGATTCAAGTTACAAAGCTCGAAAAGAGGCGTTCGTGTCGAATCTCACAGGTGGAAGCATCCTGGAGATCAACGCCGTCACCCTCGTTGCTCCTGTAAGTGGTGCTCTTTCTTGACCTCGCTCTACAGCTACGCTTTGACTAACACAATCAACTAACCAGGCCTCAGTTCTTCTCTGGTCGGTGCTCCAGTCTCGTCTTTCCTTCTTCAATCCCTATGGTGCGCCGGCACTAGTCACCGACTTCTTCCTCAACGTGTTGTCCATTCTCTTTGCAACCACACTCTATTCATCTGCGCCATGGACCCTGAATATTCTCCTAGCCCTTCCGGCTCTCGTACTACTCCTCACTTCGACGCCTTCCCGCACGCTACCAAAAGCTAAACCTCCGCGCTCATCAGCCGCAGCTAAGAAGAATGCCCCAAAGCATGCGTCTAACTCGCCCGAACCATTACCTGTTCACCCGTTTCTCACAACATACCGTGCCGCTATGATGGTCATCACTTGCGTTGCTATCTTAGCGGTTGATTTTCGCGTTTTCCCTCGGCGGTTCGCGAAAGCTGAGAACTGGGGCACATCACTCATGGATCTTGGTGTTGGGTCGTTTGTATTTTCGAGCGGAGTGGTCTCTGCTCGTTCAATTCTTAAAGGTCGGAACAGTCGCTCAAAGAAGATTGCCCTGTGGCAGAGGTTGACAGCCTCCACACGACACTCAATCCCTTTACTCGTCCTTGGATTGATCCGATTATATAGCGTCAAAGGTCTCGACTATGCGGAACATGTAACGGAATACGGAGTGCACTGGAACTTCTTCTTCACGTTGGGCCTCCTACCCCCATTTGTGGAGATCTTCGACGCCCTAGCTACAATAATCCCTTCCTACGAGATCCTGTCCCTGGGTATTTCGGTCCTGTATCAGGTAGCCCTGGAATCGACAGATCTTAAGAGTTACATTCTTGTCTCTCCGCGCGGGCCAGACCTGCTTTCTAAAAACCGGGAAGGTATTTTCTCCTTTCTGGGATACCTTGCGATCTTCCTTGCTGGACGTGCGATTGGCATCAGAATCATCCCGCGCGGAACGTCGCCGTCACGGTCACCCCAACAAGCCAGAAAGAGTGTGCTTATTAGCCTGGGACTGCAAACTCTTGTTTGGACAACGCTTTTCGCGTTTAATTCCACACACGCGATGGGTTTCGGGGCCGGAATCCCAGTTTCGCGCCGTCTGGCTAACATGCCTTATGTGCTCTGGGTGTCTGCCTTCAACAATGCTCAACTGTTCCTTTTCTGTCTCCTCGAGAGTACTTTCTTTCCCTCCACCCATCGGGAAACTGGGAAGGACGGCGAACTTGAACGGACATCATTTGCGACAAGCCGCATCATGGCAGCCTTCAACAAGAATGGGCTGGCACTGTTTCTCGTAGCAAATCTCCTCACGGGAGCTGTGAATCTGAGCGTCCCCACACTCGACGTCACCACTGCGCATGCCATGGCGGTCTTGATCGCATATGTGGCCATCATAACCGGCGTCGCACTAGCACTGGACAAAGCTAACATCAAGCTCAGCTTGTGAAAACATAGAGTTGTCTATATAAAAATTGTGTAGAATAATAATGGACATATGTACATTACGAACTTTAAACTATAAATAAGTAAATCGATGGAGCCGATCGGTCATCTTATGATGTGACACTGTGGCTTGGCGCTGGACCACATGCTGAACCGCGGTCCATTGATTGATTTATCAACAGAATGATTTACACTCATCACTGCTACATTTTCCCACACTCCTCTGTGCTCTAGGGTCGAGAGATCGCCCACGCCTCACAATGAGCTCCCAACCGCAGTTCATCCACTATCCCGAGGTCCGTGAAGGACCGTCCGTCCCCTACAAGAATGAAGACCAATCAATCCCCGTCTTTCGCGGCCTCCCTCTAGCTATCGGAGCTACACTGTAAGCTTTATATCCAACCAAGCATTTCTGCCAAATTGAAAGGAAGAAGGAAGAAGGAAGAAGGAAGAAAAAAGGATATGGATCACAAACGAAATTTCAACTAATAATTCACCCCAATCAGAATCCACAACGTGAGCTTCATCCAAAGCTACTTCTGGCGCAATGCCGGCTTCGATATAATCCACGATATTCCCCATTTGAAGCAGTACGCCGCCCGCTACGATCCTACCGTTGTACCTGTTCTTGAGAACAAGCCCGACATTTCCCCATCCCCGGCTGAACTTACCATCCCAACTCAGAGGAGGAATGGGTCTTCGGGTTACTATACCTCTGCCGATTACCATGCGCTGTATAAATCTGGCGAATTGACCCCCCTCGCCGTGGCCGACACATTGATGCACCTAATCCGTCGGGATGCGAAACCTCCCGGTAAGCACTCCATTGCGTTCCTAGATTCGCAGGTCGAGCGGGTTCGTGCTGCGGCGGAGGCATCGACAAAGAGATACAAGGATGGGAAGCCGCTGGGTCCGCTGGACGGAGTACCGGTTGCTGTGAAAGATGAAGTGCACATTGAAGGATATCGACGGACTGTGGGAAGTAAACTGGATTTCACAGGCGACTTTACGGGGACATCATGGTGTGTGAAGAAATGGGAAGAGGCCGGCGCAATCATTGTTGGAAAGACGACCATGCACGAGTTGGGTCTGGGTAAGCTGTGTCTACAATATTACTTCCCATGTAAAAAAACAGCATAGCTAACTAAGGCAACATAGATACCAACAACAACAACCCAAATCACGGAACACCCCGCAACCCCCATAACCGCAACTACTACTGCGGCGGCTCATCCGGCGGGTCTGGCTACGCTGTTGGCGCAGGTCTGGTGCCCATCGCCCTGGGCGCAGACGGCGGAGGCTCAATTCGGATCCCCTCATCCTTCTGTGGAATCTGGGGCCTGAAGCCATCACATGGCCGCATTAGCGCCACGCCAACGGTATCCCTCGCGCAAACGGTCGGCGTCTACGGCCCTATGGCAGCCAGCATCGACGATCTGGCCCTCGCATACCGCATCATGGCAGCGCCCGCACCCGCAGAGCAAGACCCATCATCCGCATCTTTCCCTGACCCCCTCACTACCCTGCAAGTCCACTCCTCCAAGCCGCGCACCAAAACCATCGGTATCGTCAGCGACTGGATCGACCGCGCCGAGCCTCCCGTCCGCGCTGTCTTCGATCGAGCCCTCGACTTCTACCGCAAACAAGGCTACGACGTCATCGACATCACAATCCCTTACCTCTCGGAAGGCCAGCGCGCCCATGTCCTCACCATCATGACGGAAATCGCTTCGGGCCTCACCCCCGACCAGATCGGCAAGCTATCGGCCCCCAACAAGGTCCTCGTCTCCATGGGCATGTGGCAGATTTCCGGCCAGGATTTCCTCGCCTCCCAGCGTCTCCGCAACATCATCATGTGTCATCTCGCCTATTTGTTCAGGAAGCACCCGGGCCTCCTCATCCTCACCCCCAGTACGCCCATCCCCGGCTGGAAGATTAACGGCGAGGCTGACCTCTCGCGCGGCTTGTCGGATGGGAAGTCCTCCGTGCGTAATATGGAGTATGTGTGGCTGGCTAATTTCACCGGCTGTCCGGCTATCAACTGTCCTGCGGGTTTTGTGCAGGATACTCGTGTGCCCGTTGGTTTGATGGCTATGGGCGAATGGGGTACTGAGGAGGATCTTATTGCTTTCGCTAGAGATGGTGAAGCCATTTTGGACCTCTCTGAGAATCAGTCGGCTATTAAAGAGCAGGTGGATGAGCAGTCGACGGGTCTGAGGATCCCTTACGGTGAAGGGTCTCTGTGGGAAGACGTGATTGCTTCGGCGAGAAAGTAAAGCGTAGGTAAGATCCTTAGATGCTTATAGTTTGTCTTCTTGTCCTATAGTTAGCACAATAGTTGGTTGTTATAATGAATATGTCCAAGATGCCTGGCCGATGGCATTGCTTGCTTGACGGAGAGCGTTGGTACCGCCGTCAAAGTTTTGGTATCATTGTGCTGTAAAAAGAATAGTTCGTAACATACATAGATATGGAATCGAGGAAAGCAAAGTAAATGTATGTACATCATTTAAGATACATAAGTTTGTAGCGCTGAAACTAGGGAGATGGGCTCAGCCCTGTAACCAAACAACGATGGGCACGACACCAAGATCGTAGAACGATCCAGTCTCCGCTTAGAGTGGGCCTCCTGATATGAGGCAGGAACCTTCTTATATCACAATCCTGGGCCACGTGGCGCTTATGAACGTTGTTCATACAGAGTACATGAGACTCAGAAAACCAAATAGGAGCTTTATCGGTCTGTCACCCTTAAATGTGAACACTCTCTCCACGTTTGGGTGCATGGAATTCGCATCCCAGATTAGCAGCCTGCGCCTGGTCTCGAAGTTGAGCCACGATAGTATCACTTGGACACGGGCCACCGTCCATGTCTTCTTTGATATGAATGAGATAGACACTCAAACTAACCAAAGGTGCCTCATCGTGCGGCCAGTTAGACTTCTCAGCCAGGGCTCCTATAGCTTGAGTACCAGAAGGATCAGTGGAGCTGCCGGGCACTGCTTGGGGAGCGCTGGTAATTGCCGCTGTAGAAGACCCAGGAAGCACATCTTGTGACCGCCGAGTCTTGGGACTCGTTGGCTGCGAGTCTGCGGGTGTTTCTCTACTGGCGCGTTTGCGTTTGCCAGTCCCTGAGCTGCTTGGGTATCTGGCCTTAACAACTTCACTAGCCAGCACCTTGAGCTCCGCGATTAAGTGTCGGGGGCAAAGATGGCCGTATAAGGACTCATCCTCCACATCATCAGTATAAGAGCATTCGATGAAGATCGCGCGTAGTTTCCCTGAAACTATACGAGGCGCTGCCGCCTCCCAAACACGCCTGTTGCGGGGCTCGACTGAGATCGAATCGGGTTCCACGTCGCCGAAGATGATAATCTCGCGGCCCGAGTGTTGTTCACGTATGAAAAATGCAGAGCTTTCAACACTCGTCCAGGTATCTCGTGGATTCGAGGGTCTACGCATGGCCGGAGACATGTACCTATACAATTCGTTTGCTTAGTACTACGGGTACCATCCAAAGGACCAAACTTACCCTGGCTCTTCTTGTGTCAAGGAGATAGCGGCTCTTGAAGCCGAACGCATCATGAATGGATCACCCAGATACATTGCAGTACTTAACGAGCGCCGCATCTCAGATTCGGGGGTATAGTGTCTCCTAGTACACCCATGACTAACGCCAAAACATCTGTAGTACAAACCCTCACAAGCCCGAGTATAGCCTCTCATTTCATCTCGGCCCATCCTTGGGTTGCCTCCTTCTTGCAAACGTTGGTAGGTGATCAGACCTGCGCCACCGTCTTCATCTGAGAGGTTTGGCCAGATCACTTCGTTAAAAATATGAGTCTTTATGGCGGAGATGACAGAAGGTAGTGCAGCTACTGTCTTCGGACCGTTCGTTGCCTCTAGGATTGGCGAGTTCATGGCAAATCCTGAGAAATGGTCTAAGTGCGGATGAGTGACCAAGATGGGTCCAATGACTTCTCGCAGGATGTGTGCTGCATTCGCTGGAGCAGTCTGGAAAGGTAGAGACATGTCGGTAAACGGGCCAGCCTGAGCTACCATCTCATCCATGTCATTGTGTGTTTCTAGGATATGAATTATTCCACTGAGTAGTGTTCCCGCATCGACCGCAATCACTGTATCTGGTCTCCAGCTAGTTGATGTCGATCGGACGAGAATTCCCGTGACTCGATCTTCCCGTGGGCCTCCTGTTGGACCCTTTTGAGACAAGTTAGCATTCAGCCCATCTGTCGAATTCCGGGAGTCGTGTGATACTGCGGAAAGATAGAGCGCCGAGGGATGGTTTAGGCAGGAGCCACAAGGCCTTGTCCTTCGGATACGAAACCATCATGCGAAGCGAGACAGACTGGTAATTGACGGAATGGGAATTGTTATACGTGTGTTATAGGCTGGACTTACCAGAACAATTACTTGTAGATCTCCTTTGCCAGGCTCGGGGGGCCTCGCAAACGGACCCGCTGCAGGAACTTCAACATTGAGCTCTGGGCCTACACTATCCTGCTTTGTGTTCCCCTTCCCTTTTCCTCTCCCGGAAGCCCGTTTGCCTCGTGACTGATTCATTCTCGTCTGTACGCAACTAAGAAAATAGATTTGTTTTCCCTCGGTTAACAGATTCAGGAAACAAGCATCTAATCTGTGGAGGTGCCGAGTATTGAATATGGTATTTTTCTCAGCGCTGGCCAGCTCACTTTTAGAAGAGAGTGTGTGTATATCTGCAGAGGTGACCGCGAGATTCACAGTTGGTAGGAAGATTAAAAGCTAATAAAGTGAGTCCGTCATCTGGTCGACAACTATCTCATTGCTTTTGCTCGTCAGAAATATAGCGAAACGGCAGACCTCTGGCAATTTCGTGTCGCACGCGATTTCGCAATTGGAGTGCGGCAAGGAGATGCGTAATGGTTCTACAGCTCCTTGGGATGTTGTCTGGCTGAGTACAGGACTAGCGGAACTATTCGAGCACTAACAAAGCGTTGTGAGATCTTCCGTCACGACATGTAAAGATGATCATTGCTGAGGACTCACCGACAGAGAGCTTCTAGAACCGAAAGACCGGGTCAAGGCGTCCACAAATTGATTGCAATTGCCTTCGGTAGGATTGCTACTGTCCACAGAATCTCCGACAAGGCTCGTGTTGCACAAACCAGAACCTTTTCTAGGGCAGAATTTCCTTTTTCCTCCGTTTTGGAGTTCGCGTGCGGAAGTGATTTAAATGTGGCTGGTAATCTGCGATCGGACAACCACGGTTGACGGATAGGCCCAACAAGGAACGACAAAGAAAGTAATGATGATAAATCGGCAACGTATACTGCCTGTATGCCTTACCTTCTTACTTCAAGAAGTTAGTGGGAAACCCCAGCCAGTTGAGAAAGAGGTTAAAGAGTGGTGCCGCGTACTTCGAGTTGGGGAACAATGGGATAAGAAATAAGATCAGGAACGAAAGGAACAGCCTTCAGCCCAGCTGTGACTCTTTTTCCTTTTTCTTTTTTTTTTTTCCCTTTTCCTTTCCCCCTCACATGAGCAAAAGGCGGGTAAGCAGAGGCCCATTCTTCCATTTCAACCGATGGAGAATAAAGTTAGCGCAAGTAGCAACAGCTCGAGTGTAACCGTGCGAGCTGAAAGGAAATGTATGGTTGGATGACGTCGACAGACCGTCTCCAGTTGCGGCACGCCAGCCGATTATCGCCTGAAACTCGGTGATCGATCTGAGATTGTGGGGAAACTCATTACCTGATTCAATTCGTCTGACCCACTTTTTCCCTTTTGCTTTGCTTCTTTTCTGCCCTACGAGGTGAGTATGTGGAGTACTCGTCCTATTCGGTGTAGGGATAGTAGTACTAGGTAGTAGCGGTGGTGGGAAGTAACTGTGCTCCTACCTTCCCTTACGAGCCGGTCCTAATCAATGAATGTATGTATTGATTTGCAAAAGGAAAGAGAGACACTTGGCGCCAGGGTCATCCAAAGGAACAAACAACAAAGGATTCTCACGGCAGAATGTACTTCACTCTCTCTCCATTTCTCGCGGTCGGAGGAAGAAAGATATGTACCGGGTGGAATTGAAATAAGCAATTCCTTCAGGTGTGAAAATGTATTATATAAAACATTCCGCTGACTGTCAAGGGGACACGGTGATAAAAGTCGAGTTGAGGTATTAACAGTGTCCCATTTGCCATGTGGGATCTAATAATAGCACTAGCAAATCGAAACGAATGATCTCTATATCACCGCAGACTACCACGACGTTATATCTAACGCGGCTTGTTTATCAAGAGTTTCTTATCCTAGACATTATCCTGGTAAAGTTTGTATTATTGCTGCCAGCATTGAATTCTCAAAAGCTTACCGCAGAGATGGCTTTCTTTTACGAGAAGACAACATGTAGTAAATATACCATGAAGCATGAGAGGGTGTTAAGTCCTCTAGCAGATATAAACATAAATTAGCGATGAGAAGTCAGCTGCAGTTCTGCCACTACATATACAGGCAGAAAAAAGTAAATGTGAGTGTAGATGCAGTCAAGAAAGGGCATTGTTTGTGGGTGGGCTGCTTCAAGCGTCACCCTCCACGCACAGCATAGAGTTATTCCGTTGCAAGTACTTCTGAAGGAAAGTAAAAGAGGATATCATTTGACAGGTCTGATATGTCAGACCCTTCCAGGGGTAAGCAGATCCCTACATGCCTTGGGTTGAGCTGCAAGCTTGCCCAGAACGTTGGTGGTGCCATGTCTTCCCCAAAGCATGTCGATCTGAAGAGACATAGAAAGCAAAGCACAAAGAACCAATCCCTATATACGTTATTTATTTCATGTCATTGCCACATCCTGGTGGCATAAAGCCCATAAAAGCCCCAACCGCAATAATCCCATCCATTGGAACGCCAACCGTGGCCGCTAAAATCAATTAACAGAGAGGAAGCCAGCATATTTGATGGCTCGAAGACCATATACACACATCATAGGTTTTGCTAGTAACGGAACGAAACAGAAAATTTAGATTGTACGCCTCGGCTGAATTAGTTGATCCCATTCGAACGAGAAGGATTGCCATCCCGGTTACCGACGGCCGCATCATAGCTAGGTATAGGCGGTTGATCCTGGCGTGGCAGATCTTCACTACCTCTTCGGCTGCTATCGGGGCTCGAGTATTCCGGTGGAGGAGCCTGGTCGATATCTTGGGTATTCAACAGTGGAGTATGCTCCCCATCACCAACATTTGTGCGGCTTGAGCCTTCTCCAGCATCTTCATTTGAAGGAATGTGGGCGAGCTGGGCCAGGGAAATATCGGTCGGGGACCGGACCGGACCGGGACTGGCTGATGGTGCAATTCGGACTGTGGAACTCGTACGTGCATTGTTGGCATCCTGATAAACTCGCTGGGAAATTTGAGCAGCACTCTCGCGACCGGACTCCAGCAAAATGCTACCCTGCTCGCTACCATACGGTGGCGGGGGAGCTAAACTACCCGTCATTGGCGCCAATCCCCATTTCTTGACATTGGCCTCGATAAACACAAAGCCCATTTGTCCGAAGTTGACATGAACGGTGCAGGGCCCATTTGCTCCGATAGTGGGGAAGAAATTTTGAGCTTTTTGGCCATGAACCACATCTTCCAATTTCTTGCCATTCCGAGTGAAGAATATCGTGCCTGAGCGGGGCCGATAACCAACGCCGATCACATCGCCTTGCGACAGCGGAGGGCCATATAGTGTTGGCGTAAAGGGCTGATTATATCTCCGGTGACCTGTGGTTTGGTATGCTACTGAGGCTCTATGATAACCTAAGAAACAGTGACATTAGCGTTTGGCATGCACCCAAGCGATAGTAAACCTACCTGGTAACCGGAACAAAGGATATGGCTTGGTGGTCATGCCAATACCAATAAGAGTATTCTCGGGCTTATCGTATATCTTCGCCTCCCAATAGTAAACATCGTTCTGTTTCGGAACAGGTAAATTGGTTTGCACACTGCATTCAGAGTCGTAGAACTCAATCTCTGTGCGGGCCTCGACAAAACAGTTGGCGATTTCCAGCTCCGGTTGGAACTCCCATGCTGAAACACCCTTTTCTTGGATCGCGAGGAACTGGGAGAGAGAGATATCGGTTTGCATCGATTCGGGTGGGTTAGCTTCGATGAATGCTAGAACACCGCGCAGATTAGCGATGAGCGATACTCCTACACAAAGTCTTTGCATTCAGCCGCCAACGAGCAGAAACTCACCCTTTGCCCTCAGATACTCGGACCGCGACAGATCATCCATGGCCTCCAAAGCCTCGGTCTCCTCGCGCAAGAACGCTTGCTCATCATCATATTCACCCGGCCGCCCAATGCGGTCCAGAATAATTCTACCACGTTGAGTATACTTGAAAAAGAAGAATATCGCAAGAACAAGCACCGCAACTGCTGCAGATCCGAAGGCGGAGAGGACGCCGATCAAGATACCCTTGCCGGTAGAACCCGAATTGCCACTGGCGCCGACCAGACCGCCATCCTGACTTGAAGAGGACATTGCCAATAGGACATGTTCGATATTGGATGCCACCCGTTGAGGATCGGTGGTCGGATAGCGAGACTGTGAGGCTGGCGACGTCGTTGGATCGCTTATCACGGAAGTGGTGAGGGTCGAGGGAGCACCCCATAGGGCACTGAGCCCCGAAGCCTCAGATCCCCGCATTGTTCATTGACTGGTTGGGGACTCGACGTCAAATTTAATTCGGTATAGAAAGAGTTGACAAAAACAAAAAGAGGGAGAAATAAACTGCAGCGAACAAAGTGGATGGAAGTGAAGGGGCGGAAGGAAGAGGGTATAATGATGAGATGAGAAGATGAGTTGGTGAGATGACAGTACAGGAACGGCGAAGTTAACAGTCCAGAATCGCCGCCATGTGGGGAGGCGCAGCGACGCTTCCGGACAATTGCGTTCGGATAACGAATGTGTTGGTTCAACGAACTGTAATACAAAGAATAGATCGGGTTCTCTTCCATATAGCATCTACCACCCGTTTCAGAAATTGGAATTACTTTATGCTTGTATCCCATGGATGCAAGGCTAAGAAAAGGAGTGAGTAGTGATAGTTATTCTACCACTCCTTGCGAGACCTTCGTACGCCTTCTAATTCCAAGAAAGTGTGGCGTACCAGTGTATAGTTATTACAAGAACAGATGATGACCCTGCATCCAGCCTATGGACAGGTACAGACATACTACTACATACCCGACTCCGTACAGTACCTGGATTTTGAGACTCAATACTTACTACAGGTAGTACTCCGGTAGTACTAGTAAGACCATCACAGGTGCCGTTTAAATACCGGATGTACGGTACCGTATCAGTAGGCCATACCCAACCTCAACTTAGCCGCCTCCAAATTAAACAAACAAGCTGATAACATCTTTCTTTGCTCCTTCTCCCTATTCTTGTGGTTCCTTGCAGCCCCTTGGCTTCCCATGTAGATATATAGCTCTTCCTCCCTTTTACACTCCTTCGTAAATATGCATTCACACATATCTCCAAGTATGCGTGTCTCAGAGCCATCTGACGTTGTCATCCGCTCTGACGATACCTGCCATATCCGCCTTACTTGGTCAGGCAGCGAGTGCGATAAATATCCAGGTATGCAAAGGAGCCGAATCCTCTAGATTCTTCCCCTCCATCCCTTTCTTTCAGGCCCCTAGAGTAACCTTGATGTCTTTTGGAGGCTGACAGGCGGCGGTCTGCAGCGAAGCAACATGCGCGTAAAGTGGCCATGAAATTAGGAGTGTCCTCGGGCCTTATCTACCTTGTCGGCCAGCCTACGGTCAATTGGGGCGACTCAGACCAACCACAGCCATTTCGACAGAGACGTTATTTCTACTACCTCAGTGGAATAGATGAGCCGGATTGTTATCTGACATACGATATTGGAGCTGATTTGTTAACGTTATACGTCCCGGACTTCGACCTACGTCATGCGGTATGGATGGGACCGACGCTGACTATCGAGGAGGCTCATAAACAATCGGACGTGGACCGTGTCAATTTTTTCGCTGCCTTACAGCATGATCTTGAGTGGTGGACAAACAAGAACAAGAGGTCTCATCCGATATATGTCCTCCATGATAGCCAAAAGCCAGTGATACCATCAGAGCGCCCCTTACTAGATAATGAACGGCTCCTTCCTGCAATGAACGCAGCTCGGGTAATCAAGGATGAATATGAGCTGCGGATGATACGCCAGGCAAATTGTATATCTGGCCTGGCACATCGCAAAATACTTGAAGGCATTCACCGCATGTCCACAGAGGCAGAAATTGAGAGTTCGTTCTTAGCTACATGTGTCTCCCACGGTGCCAAGAACCAGTCATATGCGATCATTGCTGGCTCAGGAGAGAACGCGGCTATCCTTCATTACGTTAAAAATAACGAGCCCCTCGATGGAAGACAGCTGGTCTGTCTAGATGCCGGGGCAGAATGGAAATGCTACGCAAGTGATGTGACCCGTACGATTCCTTTGTGGACAGACTGGCCTAGTGAACGTGCAAGGAACATTTACCGTGTGGTTGAGGAGATGCAGGAAGAATGTATTAGACGCATCCGAAAAGGCGTGCGATTCCGAGATCTGCAGCTGCTTGCACATGAGATTGCGATCAAAGGGTTACGGAAACTCGACATACTCACAAACGACTGCACAAGTGCCATCTACGAATCCGGGGCCTCTGCTGTTTTCTTTCCTCATGGTCTGGGTCATCATGTTGGTCTCGAGGTCCACGATGTCTCCGAAAGGCCTATCACAGCTTTAGATGGGAATCAAGCTAACTGGGGTAGCCATGACTTCGTACCGCTTCCTACCGACGGCAGTTGGTCTGTACCGTTATTGGACGAGGGTATGGTAGTAACCATTGAACCGGGCATCTACTTCAATAGGCTCGCCCTTCTGAGTGCGCAGAACCAGCCTTTGGCGAAATACATTAACTTCAACGAGGCTGAGAAGTACATTCCTATTGGGGGCGTCCGCATTGAGGACGACATTTTGGTCACCGCTGAGGGGTACGAGAACCTGACAACGGCACCGAAGGGCGAGGAAATGTTGGAGATCATCCGTCGCGGGATCGACAATTCTTAGTCTCAATCCCATATGCTCCAGGTGGAGTCGTCACTATCATTTTGTGGTTTCAACTACTCCGTACTTTCGGGTCAATGATCTTGGATAACTTAGAGCAAGGGGATTCCAGGCTCGTAAACACGATTTATCAAGAGATTATGGTGTAACTTATGGAGGCCTCTAAGGAGTAATAGCTAAGTGGCGCCCTTCTAGTCCCGTCTCCTTTCTGGGGCTTTTCCTAGGCGCCACCTCTTCAACTATCTCTCTATCATATCCACACCACTTTTACCTATATTGGCATTAGGAATAGTATATACCCGCCTTCTAGAAGGCTTTCTACTCCGCTGATCGAAACGACCACGGTGCACCACCGCACAGAATGATTCGCCGAGAACCCCCATAATATTCCTCGCCAAAGACTCCTTAGGCATCTTTACATTTCCACAAGGCCGACAAACTGAAATCCCTCAGTCCAACAGTACCCAATTAATATCTCGACCGGCTGGTTTTTAAATAAGTAATAATCATCTACATGGCGATTGACACAACCATGTCTTATCCTGAGCGTGAAGCCACTGAGGATCCATGAAAAAGAAGTGGAGGAAACTTTGAAAGGGAAGGATATAGAGAATTCCAGACATAGTACTGCTACATGACCTTTGCCCTACATGTAAAAAGCCCAACAAATGATACAGCTGTCCAACGAGACAAACAAAATAATCCCTCAATGAGAGCTCTCCATGTGCTTTGAAAAATTTTCAGGTGTGCCTGTACGAGTGGACCACTGACGCATGCACAGACAAGTGTCAAATGATGATAGCTTCCCCATTAGTCGAGTTTGAGGTAGGTACGGACCTAATGATGGACTGGTCAGCCCACTCGAAACGCGCATGAGACTAGCCACAGCTCCCCAATAGTAAAGCTCTACCTAGTCTAGTTTTGTGCGTACCTAGTGTCTCAAACTAAACAGCTACTACTATGGAGAGGAGGTGATACCCAGTCTAGCAACACCCAACACGCCAATAAGAAAATAAACCGGAATGATGAAAAACCCAGCCTGATACCTAACCCTCTTTCCCTAGCAGGTTGGAAAAGAAAATTTTCACCCTTTCGCTTTTGTATTGCCTATTTTGAAACACGATCCATCCCTATGATATCATTGCGATCAATGCCGCGAAATCCGTTGATGGATGACGAGGGTGGATTTGAGGTGTTCTTCGGTGTTCTTCTGACTAAATCATGGTTCCCTGTTATGCAAAATTACGCTTGGTACTACCTGTGAGCGCGCCGATCGGTCCGTACGGCATCCCTTCATTTTACAGTCTTAGGCACGGGAGCTGCGGCATCGGCCTTGTATGGTATTGTCAGCAGGCAATTTTGAAGGGGATCGGGACCAGAATTGCCGTCATGCCATGACTCTAATCATTTTTTATTTTTACGTCTTCCTAAAATTTCTTAGTGTGGCTGTCTAACGTCTCCTGATCGGGATCTACGCAACTTGCATATGGACCCTTGCTATTTGCCTGCGACGGAGCCGTACTCCGGACTCCGACTTGCTTTTTTTGTAGATGAAAAATTATACCGTGGACCTCCCCTGGTACAGCGTACAAATGAGCCATGAGCGACGATTGGTTGTAAATACCTCAATTATTATTATTATTTAAAATTTTTGCTACTGTGGCATCAGATCTTGCGTGACAATTGAGTTGAGTATGCCTTGACTTTTTTTATCTTGCTCCCTGAGGACATTGACGGTAGGATGACTCAAGAGCACGCAAGAACAAAATCCGCTACGCCATTCCAGATTTTGATGAGGCCATTTTTCACCATAGTAAGGGCTTGTTAGGTATTTTTGCTTCTAGACTGCAGAATGTGGAGATGGTACACCCGAAGTAGTGGCTTGTTGTGGATCCCCCGTCCCGGATGATGAGATTTTTCTTCCCTTTTTAACTCCGGCTCCATTTTCGGCCCTAGTGAGTCACACCACTGGAGCCAGCACACTCCATTGTAGTCATCGATGCTATATAAACATAGCTGATGCAAGATGTCTCCTGAATTTGGCCTTTTTATTCCTTCCCCTACCTCATCTCATCCTTCCCAGGGGGTGATGGTCACTTCCCTCATTACGCCCTATAACGCTCCTCCAAAAGTTTTGATATTTCCTCCTTGTCTGTTTGCTTTCTCGTCAATTCCGGGTGTCGCAGAAGAAAAAGAAAACTATCGGAAGAACCGTCCTTGTCGCTCGCTTAGGTGGATAGAGAATGGGACAAAGGCATAACAGACGTCGCACACGCCCACGATCTCGAAACCGCAGCGTTAATCACTCTCCCATTGAGCTGCCTTCATATCCCGTCAACTGCACGCGCAGTCCAGCTCCTAGAACGACCCCTGCCGCCTGCGATTCACTCGACTCCATCTCGATACCCCTCGCCCCGACCTGGCATTCTGGGTATACAACATGGCAGAAGCGTGACCGCACGCTACGGCTAGAGGTCTTACAGCTGGAGGCCGACCAATGTCGTCTTTTTGGAGGTGAACCGGGGGATGACGTCGGACTTTGCTATCGCATGCTCGAATATTTCGGTGGACTTGATTATATCGACTGGTAAGCTACCCAAGCCCTAATCTATGTATCTTTAGATCGTCTCTTCTAACTGGCTTTATTAGCTCACAGAGTCCGAGACTACTACCTGGGTGAAGGCCAACTCAAGATAAAAGCCTTTGCCGCCTTAACCACCCTTACCATCACATTTAGAATGTTGGGATTCTGAAAAAAGCTTTCTCCACATCCAGAGCCGGTACCTGGACAGATTATCCTGCAAGATGGAAAAAAAAAATCTATCGACAGCAGGAAACCACCAACTTGAAAATAGTCGGGAGCACCAGTTCCGTGGGCAAAACCAAGTTTCAGACTTGTAGCAATGAAGATTCCTCCTGCGCAAAGCAGGATGGGTATCAGATTGGTCCCTTACAACTTGGCCACGAGTCCCTGGTCCAGAAGATGATTACGTATGTCACGTCGAGAACCGAGGGTTCTTCTGGTTGGTGGGTTGAGTTCGCATCTGACCATGTGTTGGTGCTTGAAATCCCCGTTAAACAGGAGGGCCCATGAAGTATCTCCGCCACATTCTGTGTCAGATTCTTTGCCCCGACTACTACACGATCTATTATACGATCTACCATACTGTCCGAAACCAACGGTAAAGAGAGGAGAACACTTTTGATATAAGATGTTCCCTCTCATATCCAGTCGTCCGTTCCACCGAACCCGAATTTGGATTCATTCGTGGGAAAGAAATCAAGCTCAAACCTCGTTATGACTCATGAGTTGATTTATGTTCGCCGGAGGAATAGAGCCATCTAGCACGATGAATGAATTGTGATGATCCGTCATGTATAAAATCTATAGAGAGGTGTACTTTGTATATAATAATGGCCATGTATCTCTAAAACATGCTGCAAAATCTTCATTGTAGGCTGTAGTCCTCACTAATGGGAAAAGAGTAGTTCTAAAGTTCTAAATCCTCTAGTCCTGGCGGGTACGTAGTCTTCAAACGCCTTGCCAGCCTTATTTTCGTGGCGACGACAGCACCCTTACGCTAAGTCATCTTTGGAAGGCGGTGTGTACCATGACCGCCCCGTAAAGGACACGGTCGATCAGATTGAAGGTTAGTACCACAGCGGATGCGATAATTATCGAGATACTACGGACGGAACAACCTTCTCTTCGTCACTCACCCTCCTTTACCTACCCTGGAAGGGAACATGCTCCTGGGAACAGCCACCTAATCTATATTTGTCGCATATTGATTGTCTGTCCAGGAAGTTACTTATACCGCCACACATTTTGGGTATCTGACGGTCACACGTTGTCCCATAGTCTTGCCCATCGCGGGCGACCGTGTCTTCTGTAAATCCGCTTCACCATGTCTACAGATTACACCTACGATGAACAGGTCAGTACTTAACTTTTCCCTCAAGCTTCTCGATTAAGTAGCTAACTACCATCCTTCAGGGTCAATTTTTCCCGTTCTTCATCCTAACCCTTACGGGCCTTGTTACACTCCCGTTAACATATAACCTTCTCAAGCCGAGCAAAGGTCAGTACCGACTCTTGTTCTGATTCACGCTTATTTCGTATTATCCATATTTTAATATTTCAATCAATCATTGCAGAACTTGAGAATACCGCCCCTCGAATAAAGTCGGATTACAAACCGGAACATGGCGATCTCATTGAAGCGCAGAAGCGTAAGCGTCTACGCAAGGAGCGCAGGATCAAGCGCATTGTTACCGTTGTCTTGGGATATGCAGTTATGGCTTGGATGGTATATTTAATTATCGTCACTGCCAGAACAGCACCCAAGATCTGGGATCCATATGACATCCTCGGTATCTCAAGGGTGAGCTTCCATGTAAAGTCCACTCGAGAGACTACCAACTGACTGGCTTCATCTATCAGAGCGCCGATGAAAAAGCGATCTCTAGACACTACAAGCGCTTGTCTCTTATCTATCACCCCGACAAGATTCGGCCAGACCCTGCGAAGAATGAGACTATCGAAATGCTCAACGAGCGTTTCGTTGAGCTGACCAAGGCCTACAAAGCACTCACAGATGAGGAAGTTCGTAACAACTATATTCAATACGGTCATCCCGATGGCAAGCAAAGCTTCAGTATTGGTATTGCTTTGCCGCAGTTTATTGTCACGGAGGGAAATGGGAAGTACGTTTTGCTCGTTTATGGCGGCTTGCTTGGTGTTCTCCTCCCTTACATTGTCGGCCGGTGGTGGTATGGCTCACAGCGATACACGAAGGAGAGAGTCCTCGTGGCTAGTGCAGGGAATATCTTCCGGGAATACAAGGATGGTATCACCGGGGGTGGAATCGTCGGTGCTCTTTCCTCTGGTGTTGAGTTCAAGGACATGCTTAAGGGTTCACAAGCAGAGGCTGGGCTGGCGAAACTGGAAAAGATGGTCCTGGCAGATGATTCCTCATTCCTCTCTTCTGCAGACCGTGAAAAGCTCAAGGAACTCGATGATTCTACACGCCGGAAGGCGCTTGCTTTGTTGTGGGCTTACCTCGGCCGTATTGACTTAAAAGATGCTATACTCGACGGAGGTAAGTTGTATATTGGTCAGAATGGATTATACATCGACAATTCATTAATCTTCCTATGCAGAAAAGTACGAGGCCGCCCCTATTGCACTCTCTTTGAATGAATCCTTCACAGCCATTTCTCTGGCCTTTGGTAACCTTCGTCCCATTTTGAGCTCTTTCCAAGTCTCTCAGAACTTAATTCAAGCCATCGCTCCGGGATCATCTCCGCTTCTCCAATTGCCCTACTTCACCGATGACATTGTTAAGTCTGTTGAAGGCGAAGACGCCAAAACTCACTTCAACGTTCAGAAGTTCATGAGCCTGCCTGAAGATAAGCGTCACAGCCTCACAGTTGGTGCAGGCCTTCTATCTGAGAAGCAATACGCAAGCGCCATCTCTGTTGCCAAGCAGCTTCCTGCTCTCGAAGTTTCAAAGGCGTTCTTCAAGGTTATGGGAGAGAAGGTTATCACGCCAAGCAGTCTTGTCCAGCTTGTTGTCAAAGCACGGTTCATCCCGCCTGGCTATTCGAACGTTCCGGAAGTGAACTCAGCCGACCTTGAGGATGTTGACCCTGATGAGGATGATCTCGATGCTCTCATGGGTCGCAAGTCTACCAAGACCAAGAAGCTCGCCAACGGTGAGAAGGTGGAGAGCAAGGTTGAAGCCATTCAACCGCCACTGGCCCATGCACCATATCTGGCTCGTGATCACTCTCCTCGGTGGCATGTTTTCTTGGCCGATCCCAAGCAGGGCAAGATGGCCGTTCCACCATTTACCTTCACCACCTTTGATAAGCCCTTGTTCGATGAAGCTGGAAAACCTACATTCAACGTCCAAACTCTCAAGATGCAGTTCCAGGCTCCCCCCCAGGTCGGAGACTTTACCTTTGTGATGCACTTGCTCTGTGACAGCTACCTTGGTCTTGACACGAAGATGGAAGTCACACTTCACATCGATGATCCTGCTAAGGCAGCTGCGCTGGAGGAAGAGGACGATATTAGTGAGCCCGATGAAGGTAAGGCTTTCTCTTTACTAGACAGTATTTCTTTAATTAGAGACCACGCTAATATAACATTAACCACAGATTCTATTGCCGGTCAAATGCAGGCCTTGAAGACCGGCCAACCACCCAAGAAGAAGGCCAAGAAGCCAGAAGATGATTCGAGTGAGGATGAAAGTGACACCGACGGCGATGCAGGAGATACCAGTGATACCAATACCGAGACCGACGTTGACGATTAAGCGGCCCAATGTATGGCGACCTATGGAACTAACCAAAAATGGACAAAAAAAAGAAATTAGTCAGACGAAACAAGAAAGCGATCCTAGTCGAGAATAGGACGGTGCAGAAGGAGATTCGGAGAGGTAGGATGATAACTACGTCTCCACCCTCTGTCCTTATGATATCTTCTGGCTGTGATTACTACATATATCGGGTTTATTTTTTTTTTCTTACATACCTGTTAGATTATGCATTATATCAGGGAGTTTATATCTTTGTCTTTCGGAGGCTTGTTACCGTTGTGGTATGTGATTAACTTGAGAGCAAAAGTAATGTTGGGTGTAGTTTATGTTCCCAATATGTCTTCATATTCATGTACCCATGCAAATCCGATTGTACGAAACTATCAACTCTGTCTCTTTTTTCTTCCCTTTCCGCATGCGGGAGTTGGCTAATAACAGTTTGCGGAGTCACTCACAGAGGCCAGTAAAGGCGATATTGGTGTTAGTGATAGCTACTATCACTTTTTGGCTGGAGCTATGTAGGAGAGTGGGATTTGTGATAATCGGTACATATGGGTGATGGTCAGTGGCTAGCCATGTTGTTTTAATTTTCATGAAGATCACATAACTTCGTATAAACTATCGAGAGGGTTACCGTGCAATGTCTTACAGCAGCAGATGATCATAGTCTAAGTTTATAGTACTTTGGCTTGAAATATCATCTGCTATGAGCCTATTTCAGAAACAAAAAGCCACCTCAATCTTTGAACTTGGTTGATGGACTGCTATAGTTTAGCACATGAGTGTTAGCCTTCTCATTACACAGAGTGCGTACTGTTTTACTCTATAGAACCGGTATGCAACTCTATAAAAGCAGTTGCTTAGTGTCAACGTTTACCATTAGCATAGTTGACCTTGAAGTAAGCATCTGAGTAAATTTCCCAGTAGAGGTTCCAGATGGGAATTATATGAGTCGTCTATTCAGACTAGGGTAAGAATCCGCTATGCTGAGCGTGTGGATCAAGATGAGTTAGTGCCAAAGTGTTCTTAACCGCAGCGAATCAGTAGTAATGAAGGTGGTGGAATGTTAATATGAACACATAAGATGGATACCACTTTCTGGTTACTACCCATACCCATGTGTAGCTGTTAATCCCTTTCTATAGAACAACAGTCATCAATTCTCGCAGAGAAATGGATGATGGTCCATAACACTACAAGGGATAGTGAACTTGGGTGACATACTGGTGCGGCTTCCTCGAGGCTACCTCAGAGTTACTCACCCTCTGGCTCCTCCGGCTTAGTAATCGACTTCTTTCATTCTTCATGCTGCTCAGGGCGTGCTCAGGTCGGTTCAGTGAGCGAATTCCAGACCCTAGCAGTAAGATGAAAGGGAAAGACGCGATTGGGTAAACCCCCGGTATATATGTGCAACTATAAGCCCTAGATGGTCGAAGGCGTAGGGGAAAAGTTATCAATTGGGGATATGACCACTTCAGGTACTGAATTGATAGACAGCTATCGCCAATGAAAGTAGACAAAAGGCATTATCAATGCCTCGACCCTGCCCAAGGTTGGGCAGGCAGATTTGGGTCGGCTTCTGTCTCCCATAGAAGGACCATGCGTTTACTACGCTGGGTATTGATAGTAAAAGAGTTCTGAGGATGGCTCAGATGAAGAGAGGGGTATATGTCATGCACTTATGATAGTGAAGCGAGAGGTAAGGTGAAGAAAAGCAACCAAATGGGTGTGTCAACGCGTCCTACGCGTGTAGAAAGACCTCGTTAATGGGAATATAAATAGAAGAAAGATACTAGCCAAGGAAAATATGATCAAGAAAGGGAATACAGGAGGGAATTTCCCCAGGAAAGGGTCAGAAGAAGTTCAACCACATGGGTAAGACGCCCAGCTAGGTGCAAGGCCTTGGTAGAGTGATTGTTGATCCTGCAAGTGAAGGCTGTAGTTACTGAGAATCTCAGCAGGCATACCGGTAGAATGATGAATTATCCTCGGCCCTGCGGTCAGTCCAGGATGAAGATGGCCTTTCGTTGATTCGGCGTTGCCACCGGTACCCGTATAATAGTAATATGAGTTCTCTGAGTTAGACACTGGAGGTAATGTTTCGGAACACTTGCTATCAGCTGCCAGACCAGCTGAGTCCACCGCTGACCGAGGCATCGTCACATTATGAAATCCTGAGTGTTGGTAGCCAGCATATTGTTCATGATGAGCCGGTTGCACAGGTTGGTATTCCCATTTATAAGGACCACCGGCCTTAGTGGAGGGGCTAACGGGACTGCAGTTGCTTGGAGAGGGCTCCGGGGGAGTAACAGGCTCTGGAGATGGATCGGTGGTTGCGCTGCAATCAGTAGAAGCCATATATCTTAGATATTGAAGATCTTCCGAGTCCTCATCTTGTTCATCCGCATTCTCCTCGGCCTGTTTTATCAGTCCGAGGCGGTCCAAGATTGCATGCGTCAAAGGATAACCATCAGAGGACTCTGTAAGGGGCTCTCCCGGAAACCCATCTTTATTCAGGCAGAGCTTATAGAGCCGCTGTAGTGCTTTCACGACAAGGGAGTGGTGCGATTCGAGCATTTCAACGAACCTGTTCAATCATCACACCAGGATTAGCTTCCTTCGTAAGCCACTGAGCTGGAAGAACCTAAGCAAGATGTGAATGTTCTTACCCTCGCGAATAGACCTTTGTCTGCGTAGCCTTCCTCTCCCGAAAGAGACATGGATGGTTATACGCGGAACAGCGGTTACATGGCTGTTTACCGTCACACTAAGCTGAATGAGCATAACTGGCCGTTGGATCCTACAAGAAAATGCATGACAATGGTATAGAAGTTTTGACTGCTTCACCAACCTTGGTCTTCTTGACTCTACAGCGATCACAGGCCTTGAGAACATGCTTGCGCTTGACGCGAAAGACACGTTGGTCGTGCTTATCTTCTCCTAGCGACGTGCGAGCTTCCAGCTGCGACAAAGACGACATTGTCGCAAGATCGTACATGGAATCTGGGAAGCCGGGTATGTGAGACTTTGGCCGTAGCTTCGGTTGGCGGGACATCATTTTTAAAGAGCACAAGTGTGCGACAAGAATACTAGCAGAGAAGGAAAGGCAATTGAGTGATTTTCTGCGACTACCAGGTTGAAAAAGCTTGAGTATAAAAAGGAGCTGTGACTAATCGGCTGTCAGTCAGGAAGGAGGGGGAGGGGTAGAGGTTTAGATTTCTAAAGAGCAGCAAGCAGGTGGGGTGCCTGATATTGGTAGGGGAAAGAGAGGCTGAGAGCTCTTTTCCGAGCACATGTCGAAAACACCTTTATCAGAACATAAAAATAAAAATAAAAATAAGAAAAGGAAAAATAAAAACAAATCACAACTGCGTCGCAGGGGCCCCGCCTGAATGCACACTCGTCCTTCCCCACCTCGATGTACACCGTATACAGGTTGCTGGTGACGTGGATTACAGTCTGTCACGATATCAACCGGTCCGGTCGCTCGACATCACTCAGTCATTTGTGGCTGTGGAAGCCTAGTAGATACACCGGGGTCCCCGCGGTCAGCACAGAGAGCTTGGCCTGGTTCAGATCAACACAGGCGACCATTTCGCCGTCCATGGTATCCCAGCGGTCAGGCTTGACGGTCCGAGCCGTCAACGCGGAAAAACGACGGCCATGACATCGTCCATTAGATCGGCCCTAGCCGGGAACAACCCTTGCCCCTTGGGCAGCGAAGTGCAGAGTAAGCATCAAAGATCACATCCTCTGGCACGCGGTCCTTGTAGCATTCATTCTTTCCCCCTAGCTATGCATAATACCCCAAGTAGATGCAGCAGGCAGTAATGTTTTCTTGTCCTTCTCTTTTCTTTTTGTTCTTGCATCATCATCGAGAAAATGGATCATGCATGCCAGTAGATTTCACTGCGATATCGCAAGTAAAATCGGTGAACATCAGCTTATGGGCTCTTGGGCGCCTATCGGTTGATTCTGACAGCTGTCATTGGCGCATTGACCCTCCATCACACTTCGACTATCATATGCAGCGGACGGGCGCGTGCTCATCCTGGCTCACTTGTTCTGCCAAGAGGATTGACTCCTGCTGATCCAATAAGGGGTACTTTTCATTAGTCTTGTGTTTCTTTTTCTTACTCGTTCTCATATTGTACGGTACGGTACAATTTACCATCCCAGGACTGCGAGATTGCTCAAAGTGGTTGTATGATCAGCGCGGCAATATCGGGTCAAAGTAAATCTATACCTTACAACGATTATACATCAAAAGACAATCCTGTCTGAAACGTTCAGGTGGCGGTGTGATGTATTGCTGTGTCCAATCGTCTATGCACTTGAGTCGCATCCCGCGTATGACGCGACTGTTTGTGGCTAGACAAAAAAGAAAAAGGCTCAGGTTGAAGACACGGCCTGTTGGTGCAAGGTTGAAACTATCACCTGACAGGCCGACTGGTGAATCAATGAATCTCTGATGGTAAAGAAGCAGCAACGGGTAGTGCTAGCCAAGCTAAAACGAATCAAGAAACCTCAGCCAGCATCTTCTTCCAATGACTTTAGGACGCGCACAGAGGTCGTACAGCTTTTCTTGTTTATGCACGGCCTAGTATATACATGGACATACTTGCCGGGTAGCGTATGGTGTGTCGAGTCCTCGGCTGCCGAAGAAAAAGCAATACATGACATGGGCCTGCCCATGTCATTATTGTTTTCTGGATCTGCACAGATTATTCACAAACAGTGGAGAAGGTATAAGAGTAAAAAAGAATAATAAAAATCCCGGGCAGTGGCTTTGTCCCTCAAGACAAATTGCAAAGCAAGGATTCATGCCCTTACCCTTCGGTCCCCTCTTTAGCACGAAGGCTAGAAACTAGGACAGGTACAGTGAGTGACGGCTGCCCCTCTTTCTTTAACCTGCTTAGCGGCTGAGGAACCTCCGACTGCAAGACAAGTCCAAGCTGCAGGAAAGGTCCGTCCACTCACATCCAGGCTCAGCGGAAGAGGGGTTTGAAGTTGGCATCACCGTCATAGCGGATTTGAATTATTCGGAGAGGTGACTGAAATCGATACGTCCCAACGAAACGGGCTCAGGAAACTTGGTCAAGTTACTAGTATAGTTCCTCTTTGGGTACCAATCGGCAATGCGGCGCAGTTCAATGCTAACATATTAGCAATTATCACTCCTCGTATTCGGTGTATTTCAGTTGTCTCTGTAGTTGGTTTACACCTCATCTCCTCATTATGAACTAGTCGTATTATAGGACCCAGGGATGTTGGTGAAGACATTTGAGAGCGGGTAGTGGGAATGGAAAGCAGAGAGTACCTTAGTAAGAAGTGTTGTGGTGGCCGCGGCGAGGGACAGGAGCCAATGAACGTGATAAATCTCATATGTGCCCCGCAATGAACAACACTAACAACAGCGTCATCACAGACACTCGATTCTCTGCCAGCAACGTTACTGATATACACCTATTGCAGTCTGCTGATCCATAGGTTGACTACCACAATAATACAAGCACAGAGAATGTATCCTTGATGTTCAGTGGAAACAGCAACTATCTCTCTCACTTTCACAAGAACAGCATCCTGGCGTCGCCTGCATGTCAGGACTTAGCCTGACGTAATACGATTACACAGAGTCCCCATGCGTATGTCCATCACTCAGTCGTGACAAGAAGGAATGGTGCTATGACTGTAATCCTTGTCTGCAACCTCTGCCAAAAGGGGATATCGCAGTGACTCGGCTTAACATGCTATTGTATCCGACAGCGCCGATGCTCGGTGAGGGTCAACAGAACACATACTGGATTTGGCCTCTCAGAATGGCTAATGAGAAAGCCAAATGTGAAGCATCTGCATATTTTTGCATATACATGGCCTTAAGCGGTATCTATGTATTGAAAATCCTCCCAACAGTGGCCGCAAATAAAGTGTCATGTCAGACAAATTTCTAATGCATGACAGTCTCTTTTCGATACTAGGTTCGTGTCAGATTTCTGAGAGCTTCTCAGCCTTGATGTCACTCAGGCTGGATCGGGACTCTTTTCGCCTGCCGTCTTCGACCTCCAGTCATTAGTTCCTCTTGGTATAGAGCATAGCACGCCCAATATAACAAGGAAGGATGTTCTCATGACATGGAAATACATGACACGAGGAACAGCTATCCCCGAGGATAGATATTGTAGATGAATGGCAAAACCCGGGGAGATTGCAAGTCGGTTCTTTCTCGGGTGAAAACTCCGATCCAGCAAACAATGGGTGGCTAATGAGAACGGAGAGACCGACCAAGGAAATACGGATGGGGTAAAGAATAAAGGTAAGTGGAGGGAAACAATACGAGTGATTGGCAAGCAATATTGCCCAGTTACCGCAAAGATTTTTAGGAGCAGAAAGAGGTAGCCTGTTTTATTTTTTCTGTTTGCTACTTTGAATTCGTCCATTCATGTTTAACCCATCATGAGCGTTCATCTGGGAGGAAAGTGCTGGCTTCGCCAGCCGCTAGAAGGTCGAAACTCTCTTCGCTGGTGGCTGTCGTTGGGCTCATCCCCTCTGCCGAACCATCATACTTTTTCTCTTGGGTCAACAAGGGTTTAACATGATTCCCTGAATCCCCCCGCTGCTGCTTATCTCCGATCCACTCCAAGCCGTCGCCAGCCCCGCGGAAATTTGCCCTCCGACGGGATTTCTCGCGTTCTAGGAGCGGGAGAATCCTCGACTCGGTGGACATTGTTCCATCATTCTCGCCACCTGGTAAGGCAAGGTTGCGACGATGCCATTCGCCAAGGAACATGCCATCGGGGTCAACCTCTTGACGCACTTTTAACCATTCATCCATGTCTTTCCCATACAACCCCTGCAGCTCATGGCGTCCTGTGACTTGGAAGTTCTTGGCCCAGTGTGGCTTCGCACCCATTTCACGCATTAGCCACTCGAACGCCTCGTAGTACCTGTCCTTACAAGGGGGATCCTGGAGATAGGGTCGATAAAGAGTCGCATTGAGATACAATGTTGGGCCGTCGTGATGACTAGGGTCAAGGAATGGGCGAGGATTCTTGTTATGTGTTGAATCCGCAACCCTGACCTCAATGGGACAATGTACCCACAATCCTTCAACGGAGAACGGAATACGTGCTGTCTCGGTGTCTCCATTTAACCAAGCCGACAAGCGTATTATAGCCTCTGGGCCTTTCTCCAAGGGTAGCGCCCACTCATTGACGAACTGCGAGTAAAGACAGTTCATCAAGAGTCCAGCACGAGCGGGTTCCACTGCTTCCGTAACTTTTGCCTCCGATCTAAACCCATATTGCAGGCCAAAGACGAACCATTCAACCCATGGGAGAATACGGGGGAAATAATTGGCAAGCGCCAATAAGTTATGATAGATATGATATCCGATTGTCTCTCCATAGAACGTCGCTGGTGGTGCACGAAGGGGTAAATCGGTTTTATCCGCATGCCAAACAATAGCAGACTTCTCATATGGCATCCACCAGACGCGAATGAACTCGTGAGAGGTCCACAGGCCGGCTGACCACTCAGCTAAGACACTTGATAGTGAACGACGAGTCTGTCGCCACGCAACCTTGAAGGATGCCTCCGCCTTGAAAGTAACCTCAACGATAATACCCAGCGCTCCAAGAGAAATAAGAGCAGCACGGAAAAGCGATGGGTTATTGGTTGCGCTGCAGCGCACCAATTGCCCGTTGGCCAGCACCAGCTTGAGCGATGTGATGCATTCAGAAATTAATCCATGCCTCAGGGAACTTCCATGTGTGCCTGTTGAGATCACACCCGCGATGGACTGCTCGTCAATGCTCCCCAAATTAGACAAAGTCAACCCATGTCTTTCCAGACGTTTTCCCAAGTCCTTTAGCCGAATGCCTGCCTCAACTGTTACATCACCAGTCTCAGGCGAGACATCCAGCACGCGGTTAAATTTATCTAGGTTAACCAGCCACGACGACGTACACGTCAAGTCGGAAGGCGAATGTCCACTACCAACGGTAACCAAGCGACGACGACACCGACGAGCTAGAGTCACTAGTTTCTGAACCTCCCCAATTGATTGCGGCTGTATATACAGCTCCGGTCGCGAGAAGAACGTCCTAGCCCATGTATGATGGATATGTTCGGTTGATGCGCGGAAAGGCACTGCGGGGTCAAGCCGGGAGAGCTCGCGATGAATCGCGGGGTCTAGTGCCTCCATGTTGGAATGTAAAATATGACGTAACTGTTCGTATATATCAATCAAGACATATTGTGGTCAAGGTAAGCCGAAGGGAATGTCTTCCGCAGGTATCAGATGCGCCTCTCGCAGAAACTGCGATAAAGAAAAATCAAAACCAAAATAAACTAGTAAGCGATGATGGAACGGTGACGATCTATGACGAATCGGAGTGGGCCGGCTGGAGTCGGGCCGGAAGATTTCGACTCAGGCCATACACAGTCCTGGAATCTGATAACCTTTGAGACAGAGTACTAGGTACCTCGAAGTACTTGGTACATACTGAGTCCGTACGGTACACAGTACCCGATAGCGATAAGCCCCATCTCCTGCACAAGCATGTGTGGCATGCAGCAACCTTAATTATGATGGCTTCACGCTTCGCGCTCCGCTAATAACTTATGCAAAGTTCGAAAGTCGCGGCTGTACCATTTTTTTTTTTTTTTAATCTTATGCTTAGCTATGAAATACTCAAGGACTCCCAACCAAGACTTGTTGAATTGCATTATTGGAATGTCCTATTAAGCAACTAGCGTGTATAATGATCTCCAATTTCATCTATACGCGAAAATAGTAAACTCAATTGGGTAGTCACTAGAATAAATCATGCGTTTCTACTTAGATCTAGGTGGATGCAATCGTGCGATGGTCATCTAGATACGTAGCTATAGCCATAAAATATCATACATCAGAAGAGAAAACCGGATATGCAGAATAATCACCACTATGTACCTTATGTGGCTCCCAAACTCCACCCACAACGTACAGACAATTGCCCGAATTGACTTCCCCCCCCGCAGGCTCCTTGGATTATGCTCCTCATGCCCACCTTTCCGTTCTATCCATTGGCCGGTTGACGTCTCTGTACAGACACCAGTATATGCACAATCCAGATGCAAATATCTATAGACAAGAAATAAGAAATTTGAAAAGAAAACAAGAAATAAACCGAGAATAAAACAAAGATTATTTAGGAGCGAATAGCCTCAATGGCGGCGTTCAAAGGAAAGACCTGTGGGGGCATCCGCAAGGTAGGCTGCTCCCACTTGCGGAATGCTGTACAGCAGCTACCCGGAACGCCGCCAAGGGACACAAAACTCTTAGGAATGAATGGCCGGTCTTGGAGCGAAGCAGCTAGAATGCCATATTCGTGTGCGAATACCACGGCCGAGACGAATTCTGCCGGTCGGTTGGACGCATGTTCGCCGACAATCCTAGAGAGTATGGTTAGCCAAAGGAGTTCAGCCTGAACGTATTCTGTTGACAGACACTTACACATAGATCTCGAAGAAGGTATCTAAGACATAAATACCATTGGCCTTGATGTCCTTCTGGTAGAAAGGCTCGATCTCTTGAACAGTGTCGTTCGGTCGAATCACCGGAGACGCGGAACCTGGCCGACGCAGCCAGAACCCTGCTGGCCGTTGCTGACCGAGCTCATGGTCAATACGAAGTAGTCTCGGGCGATAACATGCATGGTTAGGCTTTAACCGCCAATAATCTGGGCGCATGTAATCTCCAGATTCCCCATACTGTGGGAAACATTCAAAAAAGCTCTCTGGCTCTTCTCCTTCAGCAACCTCTTCGAACTCGCCGGTTAAGCCAAGGTCCATGCCAATCAACCGAGCGGCTCCGACCTCTTCAGCTGCACTGCCTTTGCCCTTCCACAAATATACCTTGCCAAACATGGCAGAAATTACGAACGGATAGCCGGGGCACAGACTCTGGCGGGAGAAGTTCACTTCGTCAAAGACCATTTGGCCTAGATGCTTTCTGCCGCAAAGCATGAAAAAAGCAGAGGAACTAGAACGAGAACTGAGACCTCTACGAGTTATGAGAATTCCACCGAGGGCTTGGATAAAACGCGCGGTCTCTTTTCCCTGCTTAATGACTTCCAATTTGCAACCATTCTCCTTGGCCACCTTCTTCGAAAAAGACTGCGCGTCGTCTATTGCTGCGTCGGGAACATCATCACCACACCAAAGATGAGCCTCTGACCGTGCACCAGCGTCAGCTTCGAACAGATGCACGCAGAGATACATGCTGCCTTCGTAGAGGATGTATTCCTGATTGACAGGGAGATCTTGTTTCTTGCCATCACCTGTTATCTCCCACATCTGCATCCTCAGGGTCCTGATTTTCTGGTTCTCATTCTTGCTCGTCAGCATTAACTGAGCATCAATATTCATGGAATCCCTTGAATTGGGGAATGTCTTGAAGAAGCCAGAAATGGCTTCAAGAGACTCGTCGGCTTGGGGCACCAACGATGCTGAAGATCTTCGTGAAGAAACTTGGTCCACAGAGGGGCTGGACTTAGGAGGAACGGGAGGGGATGGTAAAGACTTGTCCCTGGGTGAAGATGGTGACATACCCGGGGCTGTCCTTCGATAAGCAGTCGGAGAAGGATATATTTGGTTTTGTCTGAAGCTGGACCTGAGAGGAGACGGAGACGGGGACGAAAAATGTATTGGTGAGCTTCTGGATTGCCTAAACTCGGGGGTAGGGGTGGATGGGGCTGCTTTCGGCGGAGGAACCGGTTTAAATGAATCGCGCCGGTTTTCCACATCCTCATGAGCTTTCTCGAATTTCTGCGTGAGTTTCTCGAATTCTGTAGCTGACTTTGGCTGGAGTGCACCAAAATTCTGTTGCGAGTCTCTCTCGGCCATGTGATGAATACTCCTCTTGAACTCGGTTGGCTTGCCCGTAGTTGGTGAAGGCTGAGTCAAACCTGTCTCCAAAGCGGCAGGCGCGGGAATATCACCATCAGGGAGCGGCCAGCCGCTAGAATTGCCTGCGCAGCTTCGAGTAGATAATGGGCTTGCCTTAGGTTCCTTAATATCAGGTGAAGCTGTGTTTCCCCGTGATTCAGTCCCTTCTTCGAGCACGATAGTTGAAGGCGGTAGACTCTTCAGGGAGCCAGTATTCTCACTTTCCAACGACCCAATGGGTTCAGGCCCCACAATCTCTGAGGATGATGGGATCTGCTGGCCACCGGTATATTCCTTGGAAGCAGGATTCATAGTCTCGGACTCCTCGGTGTCAGAGGACATTGTTAGCCTGGAGATAGTATCTCGTTTCGATGTACAATTCTTAGAAATTGTTTCCTCATTATTTAGGGGTAGTGCAGGTTCTAGAGATATGATCTCTTCTTCTTTTGGTGCGGAGTCCACGGTAGGTAGCTCTTTTTTTATGCTAGCGGAGAACTGTGAAGTCTCTTGGAAAGCAGGCTTTTCCTTCGGTGCAGAGTCCACTGTAGGAAGTTGGTCTTCCATGGCATCGGAGAATTGTAGAGTCTCTTCAAGGCTAGGCTCTTCCTTCCGTGCGGGGTCATTGGAGACGTCTACCTCAACACTAAGAGATGGTGAGACTCCCTGGCTAACAGTTTCTGTTTCGGGCACAGAATATTTTATGTCGGCTCCTGTTTCCTCGTTTGAAGGGGGAGAAACGTCCAGGGTAGCAGGTTCTTCCCTTGGTCTAATTTCCTTTACGGAGACATTCTTCTCTTCTCTCTCAGAATACGCTAAGTTCTCTCGAGGCGTTGACTCCTCTGATGTGAAATCTAAAGGGTCAGGATCGCTCAGATCAGGAAAGTCACGGACTTCATAAGATTCTGTCGCTTCCTTCGATGGGTAATCCACGAATTCTGGAGCCACGGATTTGGGAAGACGTCTTTTTGGGCCCTTGGCGCGGTTTTTCGTCATATGCGTAAGCGAAGCAGCAGGACTCGGGGCCGACGGCACATTGTCATTCACGGGCAACGCGTTGTTCGACCCATTCAGTGCCGCGGGAGGACCGCGCGACAAAAGGCCTGCCAAGGCAGGGTTTATTCGGCCTGCGAGTTTACCTTTAGTAGCAAGACCTTCAGCTGAAGCAGGCGGATTTGTGGCCTGCACGATATTCCCCGATGGCAAAGCACGCACCGGTTGGATGGCCTCTTCACTTGATTTCTTCTGCTCTTCAATTACCGCATTCTCCAACTGATCCTTCGATTTACTCGACTCAATTTTACTATTTTGTTCGCTGATAGGATGAACGGGTTCAGGGACTTGTTCCTGGGTATCAGGTACATCGGGATTATGTTCTTTCGCGGCAAGTTGTGGGCTAGGAGAACGGTCGACACGCTCAAGCTCTGAAGGAAGTTGTGGTGAAAGCTGTGGTGTTCCGGGCTCCCTAGGAGAAAGGGAGGCAAGCGTATCAGACACGTTGCTTTTGGCACTGCTGGACTTGGTCAGGTTATGCCGTTTCGCAATGGCTTCAGGAACGACCTTCATAGAAGCATCGTTTTCCCCAGCAGTATTGCGCCGTAACGAGCCTCCGCTGGATTTGATTGCCTCTCGCTGTTTCAGAATACTCTCTTTCAGTTCATCAACTTTCTGGTTTTTCTTCGGACCCCCTGTAGTATTTAATGCTGCTTTCCCTCTCAGTATATTATCTTTGAGCTCGTCAGGTGGGACATAATTCGATGATTCTGTTTTCTTCAGCTTTCCAAAAACATTTTTGAACTCTGGCTCTTCCTTGGGTCCTTGATCCTTAACAACTTCTCGCTTCCGGAGATTGGCACGGAAATCTATCACAGGGGACTGGGGTTTCGGTCGGTTTAACAGGGGGTCTCTAGTGGGTGAAATCCTAGTAGGCGAGATAGGTGAATCCAAACTCGCGTTCGAGATTGGCGTCAATAATGTTGGGGCACGCTTGCGTCTAGTGGTGGTTGGCTCGGTGGTCTCGTCAGTACTCTCTGGCACGGTCTCCGTTGCCTTTGAATGATCTGTAGAGCATTTGTCCACAGACGGTACACTATTACCCTCAGCGTCAGGTGCGGTGGTATCCACTGCAGTCTCCTTTGCTGTGTTTGTCGTGTCGGGTGTGCCGAACAAATCTGGCATTCCAGAAACACTCGATGTTTTTGAGTGGCTGCCAGGAGCGGCGGTACGCATCAATCCCACAGGAGTAACTTCTTTAAAGGTATTCGACCGGCCCATATCAACACTGCCCCTTGACTGCCGTTCTCTGCTCCACGTTGTTGATTGCGAGGGTTGCTTCTTATGCCTCGGTGAATCGGGACGGTTCAGAGCACTCTCCAGCCATGTGGATTTGGTTGGACTCCAACGCTTGGGGTCCATAGTCCTAGATACTACAGGGCTATTCGGAGGTAGTGAGCTAGCATCATTGTTCTCCACAGCGCTGGCAGATCTTGTATGGAGCGCAAGTTGTGGCCTTCCGGGGCTCCCATCGGGTCGTGTGGCGCCATTGCCGCTAGAAACTGATGGAGTAGCCGGGCGTTCACTCTCCTTGACAATCGTTGCCTCGCTGTGGCTAGAGCTTGGTCTATGGCTAGAACCTGGCCGATGTGTTGTTAAAGTCGAGCTGTCGGGGGCAAGTCGAGGTGAAGATAATAGGTCATTTTTACTCGGCGCAGCGAAACTATTTCTATTCCCTGCGAATGAGTGGCCGCGGCTCAAGCCAGATGGAAGTTGAGCACTCCAACGTTTTGAAACACTATCAGATCGTTTCATCATGGCGCTTTGCACAAACCCTCCAAGTCCCTTAGTCGGCGAATTTGAACGTTCCGGAGAGAGACGTCTGGGCGATAGGGGAGTCGTCGTTTGGTCCTCTGAGTCTGTCTCGGTCTTTCGGGGCTCGAACTTTTGTGTACTTGACAGAGGTATGGGAGATCCTAGTCCTGTAGCTGTTGAAACGGAAGAAATACTTGAATATCGATGACCGAGGCTACTTTCTGCGAAAGTGGAGCTTGCCCTTGATGGAGAACGTGATCGCATTTCTCCAGCTTCGGGTTGACTGGGTTCCTTTTCCACCTCATGCGTAGTTTCTATTTCTATTTCCGACGCTTTAGAGTCATTGCCCGGCGCAGAGAGCTCTTGGTATTCTTCTTCGGCTGGCGTTGCCCGCATAGGGGAGCTAGCACTTTTTTCTGCTTGGTCCAATAACGGGGCCTCCCTTGTGGGAGGAGAGCGCAATGTTGGGCTACCAGACAATCCACGGTCGTCGGTCGAGGTACTCGACATGGCTCTCAAGCGATTTTCCCGAACGGGAGAAGTAGAGAAGAAGGGTCTATTGAGTTCTCGCGATGACGGCCGTTGCTGCCAGGACAACGTCCCCGCTCGGCTTCGAAGCGAAACCGAAGGGGCCTTGGGCGATGATTCTAACTCGTTTATATCCACTCTAGATCCTCTTCGACTACCATTGGTAGTTACGGATTCGTCGTCCCGAATGGCTTCCGATTTGCTGCTGATATCACGGTCTGGAGTTTGGGGGGTTGGCTCAAGATGTTCAGGAGGATCGATGGCTCGTAGGCTGAACGACGAGGTGCTCAGTCGAGCATTATCTAGTATAGATGGAGAGTCTTTCGTCGGCGATATCGACCGTGCCCGCTCTACATTGGTTTCGCAAAGAGGACAAAATCAGCTTTTGACTCTGTATATCTTCGAGAGGCCCAGTCTTCTGTGAGTCATGGGTCACGTATGGTTTGGGGGGAAGTAACAAGGGAATCCAGATATACCAGCTCTTCGAGCCTGCCTCTCCTTCCGGCCTTGCAAAATCTCCTCCTCTAATTTCCTAGTACGTTCTTCGTCTTCCTTGTCGCGCTTCTCTCCGAGCTCCCGGATACGAAGCAGGAAGTCATTGACATCCTCTGAACCCTCGGCGTCGGCTGAGGAAGACATGGTCCCCTTGGCAGATGATATGTCACAAGTCGGAATAGGAGAGGACAAGGAAAGGAAAGGGAAAAACAAAAAACGCCTCCCAAAGAAACAAACGGCAGACGAGAACTGTGGGGTTTGGCGAGAGGCGCACCAACGGAGGGGTGTGGATGTTGGTAAGGAGAAGGTCAATAATTATTGGGCATATAATTAACCAACCAGTCAGATGAGCTAATGATAATTTAATAAATAAACCCAGAAGGAAAAATAAGTGTAGCCCGGAGTTCAGTTCCACGGCACGACAGAATAAAGTGTGATTGATATTAATCAAACCTCGCTTCTCTCGTCGTCCTCACCCTTTTTCCTCTGTCTGGCAATTTTGTTCTGAGCCTCACCGAAGCGGTGGTGAAGACATCAGGAGGATCGGTTTCCTCGGCTTTTTTTACCCTTCAAACTGCCCGATGGCAATAATTGTCAGCGATGGGTACCAGCTGAGGGAGGTAGTTAGTTGGGTTAGGTAGTAGATTAGTGGTAAAGGTAATGACCATTTCGAACACCTAATCAGCGGCCAGCGTTCAGCAGAAATCATCGGAAAGGCAACAACAAGCCCAAAAGACGGACGCACATCACACGGCAGCCCCACTAGGACAAGTACATCCTTGCTGAAAAGAGGCGCCCGACCGCAAGGCATTCGTTGGTCACACTAGTATTTTCTTTTCCTAGGCACAGAAGACTCTGTCAAGTCCTGTCCAAACACACGCAAAGTGTAAATCTGCAGTAAGGGTTAATTTTAATGGCTGTAGCATTTTTTGAGAGATAGAATTAACCTGACTACAAATACCTAGAAGTAGACACAACCGCGAATCTTCAAGGACGTTATTCTACAGGAAATAGACAATGTTTTGTTGTTCCTCAACCCGGTAGATTGTTTACGTTTCCTTACCAAACCCAACCAAAACAACAAAAAACCCTTTCCGGGCGTCGGCTCTTCCACAGTATGACTGACGGCGGTGGAGCCAATTTAATCGGGTTTTACCGCCCCGCGATCGGAAACATAACGAACAAGATGGATAAATTATGGTTACCAACTAAGTCGATTAGGTTTGTTATGGTGAAATATATACCTACATAGCTCTTGATTCTCCATTAGGTGGTTTCGCATTAGACTATTGTCAATGAAACTTGGAGGTCACAACTCGGCAGAGATCCATGGATGAGTTTGAGACAATCTTCTCGATCCACGAGTGGAAAGATGACAGCGAACAACACATTGGAAGATATGAGACACCGCACCTAATGACGAGATTCGTCATCATGGATACTCACTATTTTGGTGAAAACAAGCCCCTATCGATGAACCTTGCGACATATTGACTCTCTAAGATCAGATCGTACCATCAGAACAATATCTGAAGCAACCCGTTGCACATGTTTAGATATAAAATGCAAAAAGCAAAAGGCAAAGAGATGAATTGAAAGAAGAGAATAGAAAGTAATGGGATGAACAGGAAGAGGAGTAGTAGAACTAGCAAATAGCAGTAGACAACTTATCCGGCCACAATATACCGTGGACCATAACTTCAGCTACTACTTAGATACAATAGTTCAAGCCAGAAGCATTATAGTATACCAGTTATACTACTAAGCTCTTATAATTAAACATTCATCTTATTTCTTTAGACTGTGCAAGTGGATTAAATAGGGAAGGAGACAGCGCGCATGTCAACTAGTGTGCGCCCATTATTATTTGGCATTAACTTATTAACTATCGTTTTCAATAAAGAAAAAGTCTATCCTTTGCATCCTGTACGACCCATTCCAGACCATCATGGAGATTTTCCCCCGTCATAGCACTGCAAGGTAATATCGTCCATTTATGGGTCTTGATCGAATCAAGTTCAAGCCGCTGAAGAGAGTGTTAGAATTATTCGCGAGGTACGATAGCGGAGCGCGAAGCGCGAAGCTATTATTTTAAGAAGTAAAGGAGTCATCGCTGGGAGTTGAACTTGACGAAAACGAAAGATAAGAAGGAAAAGAACCTCACCTCATGGACTTCATCCTCTGTCATGCAGCCTTCAACGTCAGTTTTATTTAAGAATATCAAAAGACTTGCCCCCGTCAGTCGCTGATCCGTAAGTTAGTCAAACAAACCGACAAAACTAAAATTTGAAAGGCGGAACTGGAACAGTTTGCAGCGCACCTCTTCGAGAAGAAGGCCGGCAAGTTCATCCCGGCAATCATCGATTCTCAAACGATCTGTTGCATCAACAACCCAGACTAGAGTATCGGTCTTCTCAAAGTAATTTTTCCAGTATGAGCGTAATGTCTTCTGCCCTCCTACATCCCCTAGTCCTCATAAGTA